AAAGATTTCATTCTTTTGCGTCTTGGGTTCTGGTGTGCACTTCACTCGCATGACTGTCTACTGAACTTCTGCGTGAAGTGGAGAACTGTGGACACGAAAATTTTGAATTTTTTTCGCATCTCTAAATGCTCAGAATTGAACTGTATTTTCCCCTTCAAGAAATCTTTATCAACACCCAAAGTTTTGCTACACTATTTATGAACAAACATGTCAGGCCGAGGACTTTAAAACGGATGTCTTATGGGTGGTGTATAATGATCTCTATCAAATGTTTTTCTTTTTTTAATTTTTCATGCCACCCATAAGACAAAATACCACATTCAATGTGTGTCATCTATATCAGGACCCTTTATGATTTCCATTGTTACTTGTCAACAATTCTTTGGTTAATGAATGAATGAATAGTTAAATACTGTCAAATCATCAACGCATAGCAGATAGTCCCCCCCCCCCCATATCAATGTTACTGATTTCAAGTGCATTTGCCACACGTACATAAGAAGGAGGTGATGTACTCGATAGCGAGACAAGATGATATCATAGACTTATGTTCAGCAACAGAGTCTGAATGGGGAAAAAACGTAACACTTTTAAACGGCTTAATGTTCCAACACACAAGCACACCCACCCTAACCGAGGGTATTATGATCGATCTTCACTGGTCACTTGGTTGAGACCACATTATACGAAGTACTTAAAATTCCAGCGCGTGTGTGGTGTTGAATGAAATAAGTTCATCCATCCGTCCGTCCATCAGTCATGTCAAATATTCATTATCATCATATTGTCGATGTAACATGATTGGTCTTTTTTTCTGTCTGTCTTTGATCTGTTCAAAACATATCTCTGCATCAGAATAAAAAAATGATAAATATATACTGATAATTTTGGTAGAATGCAAATAAGAGACAATTCGTTTAAAAACGTGACTCAAACCCTTAAAATATCGATAAATATTTGGAATCAACATTTAATATCCACTCTTGTGGTTGAGAGTCTAAAATAGCTCTCCTGATCAGTATTTATTTTCTCGAAGGATATATATTTTGATAAAATTCTTAGATTTTGACCGCAAAAATGGCTTTGGCTCTAATGTTCTAAGATTGTCATCCTATTTTAAGCTAATTTCCAACATCAATTGAATCTGCTACCCATCTTAATTTGGGAATTTTCGTATTACCAAATAAATAGCCTTTTAAGGATTTGTCCTTCAAGAAGTCAACCAAGCCATCAGTATTTAAGCAAAGGCACGTTATATTTACAAACAGACAACCACATACCTACTCGTATCATTGATCATGATGAAGCGTAAAATTGTGTCTAAATGCTGTGATGGTGATTCGGGATGACATTACAGAAAGGGTTTTACAACCAACTACCTTTCCAGGCCACAAAAGACCTTTACTGCAATGTCATCATCATCACGATCACCGTTTACATGGCAAAAGTCTTCGTCGAGGGATTTCTATCCCGTTCAATGACGATCACCCTTTTTTTTTTTGAGGATTTAACTGCATTGAAGTGTCGACGACACGTTTGGTAATCATTTGGGTAAATGAGCCAACTTGTTGATGACAAGGCGTCAAAATATTATAAGTCTTCGACAACTAAATATCAGAGATAATTATGCTGATATTACTTCGCTTGGAGCTTGCGATGAAGGCGAGGGTGATCGCAATAATGATGATGATGAATCACTTAAGTACATAATGGCATATTGTTATTGAAATACGAGGGCAGGCAAGTATTTTATTTTTAACATAGACATTATTAGACAGAAAATGTATTCTATGCTATAGAAGAAAGGGACTTCTTTGCTATAGAAAAAACAGTAAGGAAAGCAGTAAAGTCGGACTGGGTCGACTAAATGATACCCTTCAACACTTTGGGTATATTACATATGTATCCCCTCCAAGGAACATACGCAAGTCTTTCCGCAACCTATGATAAATTTAATTTTATTCGGGCAGTCTAAAGTCGAATAATATATAGGGACTTTGGTGCACCATTTACCTTAAATCGAACGAAACTATATATGGGAGCTATATCTAAATCTGGACCGATTTTCTCGAAACTTAGCAAAAATTCGTGCAAATCGAATGATAGATAGGGACTTTGGTGCACCATTTACCTTAAATCGGACGAACCTATATATGGGAGCTATATCTAAATCTGAACCGATTTTCTCGAAACTTGGTACGCATCGTTCTGCACCTAATTCAGTACTCTATGCCAAATTTCATGCAAATCGAAGGATATAGAGGGACTTTGGTGCCCCATTTACCATAAATCGGACGAACCTATATATGGGAGCTATATCTAAATCTGAACCGATTTTCTCCAAACTTGGCGCACATCATTCTGCACCTAATTCAGTACTCTATGCCAAACTTCATGCAAATCGAAAGATATAGAGGGACTTTGGTGTCATTTACCTTACATCGGACGAAAATATATATAGGAGCTATATCTAAATCTGAAACGATTTTTCCCAATTTCAATAGGGTTCGTCCTTGGGCCAAAAAAATGACTTGTGCCAAATTTCATCCAAATCGGATCATAAATGCGACCGTACTTTGTTTACAATTTAACATCTACAGACGGACGGACGGAAGGACGGACATGCATTAATCGACTCAGAAAGTGATTCTATGCATATTCTCAAAAGGAACCATCTGTCTATCTCGTTTCCTTTTGCCTGTTATAAACATATGCACAAAGACATAATACCCTATACCACAGTGTGGTGAAGGGTATAATCATCTGTACTTTAAATGACAGGGTATTCTATACTATATATTGAAAAACCTCACTTCTACGGGATATATGACCGGACTTATATAGCATATAAGTCCTGAATTCTGTATGATAAAAGGCATGTCTGCTGTGGGGTAGATGACTCAATCTTTTATTAGATAAAATGTAATTTTACTGTGAGATGAAATACATTTCTTCTAGACGATAAAAGTTATAGCTTCTATAGAACAGAAGACCGGTCTGGAATAGGGCAGAAGACTAGTCTTCTATATAAACGCTATAAAAATCCTCTACCTATCCATTTATACGACCCTCCATTATTGGTTGTCGTTGCATTATGGCATATCATTGGATTCGAAACACGTTCAAAAAAACTGCATTTTTTTTGTTTTTTGTATTTTAAGCGCGATCCGGCCACTTGAATGTGTTGGTGCAGTTTCAACAAAAAAATGCACTTGTCACAATTGAAGTGGATTTCATTTTCATTCCTTTATTTTGTTAATCTTCCTCCCCTTTCAAAGATCTCTACATAGAAGACAATATAAAAATTTAGCTTATAAATTCATTGGATGCAATATCCAAAAGTATAGCAGCAGAGAAATATTGGATATCAATGTGAAATTGAATTTCATGGTATGACTTTTGAATTGGTGTTGATTTTCCAACAACAAAAAATGATGCAGCAAAGAAAATCTAGAGGCAAGATGAAATTGATTTGTGTTTTCTTTCAATTTTGTTCATGTGTTTATTTATTATGACATTAAATACTGGGTATCATTTAAAATGCTAATTACTTTGAATTGTATCGATATTGTCAGGCAAAGTGACGTCTGCAACATGTATTTATTTTTGAATTTTTTTATTATTAAAAAATAGACCACCAGGTAAAAAATTGGTTAAAAACGTATGCCCCTTTCATTTGTTATGTTTGGAATTTGGACTTTAACTTTCTGCGGAACAAAAATCCTAGTCCGGTCAATACTGGCAATTCTAAACATTATCAGCCATATATGTATATGAATCGTCGTTATTGGCGTCAGTTTGGTGTACATCATTGTAACAACTTACCATTTTTTAATTAATATCTTTACTTTATGATTTTCAAATTTTTTTTATTTTTATTATTTATTAGTAGAAGTGATAAAATTTAGTTTCTTATGATTTTATCATACATTGCTGCTGCTACTAATACAGTTGAAATGATTTTCGTTTTTTTCGATTTATGTTTGTTCTTTCAATTTGGATTAAGCTTGTAAAGTTTAGTTGTTTTTCATTTTCTTTTCCATTCTATACAACACAACGTATTAGTTTTGATATACTTAAATAATAGAATATAATATCTGAAGATACATATACAATCGCTAATAAATATAATAATATAAGTGTGATATTAATTAAACAAACAAAAAACATATCAATTAAAATAAATACTAACAAAAAAATAATACACCGAAAAAAAAAACATATTTAAAAGACTATAAACACACCCAAAAAGCAGGAGAAACAAAACGAAATAATATTAAATAACATATAGATTTAATTGTCGTTTAAAATTTCGAAACTTTCCAAACAATCTCAAATTACAAAGGGAATCTTCAATATTATCTTTTGGAATATAAGCACCAATGATGGAATATCTTAAATGAATAATTTCAAAAGTAATTTAAACGGCAAATTAACTCACAGATTTCACACAAATAACAAAATATAATAATAATTATAAATATAAGAATTAAAGCTCTTATAAAAATTATGGAATTGCAGTAGTTTTGTGTTGTTATTTTTTGGAATAAAGGATATTAATGTAAATTATTTTCTTATCTTTTGTTTTTGTTATATTTTTGATTTTGGCAAATTAAAAAAAAAATATACAAAATGTTAAGAAGAATTTTTCAAGGACGTTTGTTTTTTGTATTTCTTTTTCTAGAAATTACGTACAGCCTTGCTTTCCTAACAATGACAACAATAAAAATGGTTTCAGAATGCATTTTAAGAACCGTATGCTCAGTCTAGTTATGTGGTTCTCCTGTCGATCTCTATCTCTGCCATTTATTTCTGTTTTCTATGATAGTTCTATTGAGATTTCCAAAACAAGGCCCTTAACATTTGCTTTTAAAGTTAATACACGACGACGAATGCCAGAAACAGTTTTTTTTGTTTTTGTTGGTTCTTTTTGGGTTAATTATTATTTAATGATCTCTGCTTATATATCATCATGATCATCATCATTACTATTCATTCATTCTATACACAATGGAAACTACACATGGAATTCTAAATAGATAAAAATCTATCTAATAGAATTTCAATTACTAAATTTCATAACAAGTATTAAAATTATAATTAACATAATCACTGCTAATATACCCAAAAGTATTAGTTTCTTTCTGCGTAATTTATTCTGCAATGAAAAGAAAATGAACGAAATAATTTAAGAAATTTTAAATAAATATTCACATATATTCTAGTTTTCTTGTCTTACCTTGTAGGAACTAGCCATACGCAGATTTTCCGTACCCTGAGATACATAGACACTGGTTTGTTCAACAGATGATTCTATAGAGTCCACAATCAGTCCCTGTTCATAAACCATTGAACCTAATTTCTTGTAGATTTCATTAACACCAACAATGTTTTCCTTAGAAGACGATATGAAAATAGAAAAGCTTTATTGATTGTATTTTGTTTCAATAAAAATATACGACGTGAACATACCTCCAATTCCCGTATGGCTCGTTCTTGCTCCTCCAATGCTTGCAAATCAATTTCCTCCTGCATTTGAGTTTGCTGCTGTTGTTGTTGTTGCTGAGATTTACGACCGAATAGATTGTCATCGAAAAATGAATTATTACCGCCACCATTTGATGCATTATTTGTACTCCCAGGTGGTTTTGCAATATTATATTGATTTGATCGTGCCTGACGCACTTGATTTTTTTCAATATCGACAGTTTTACGTTGTAGAGTCTAAAGGAAAGGAAAATAAAGACACATATTTAAAATAAATAATAAATTGTACTTAAATCTAGTAATGAACTGGAGTCCCCGTAGAAGCCAGTATGAAAACTATTAACCAGTCGGACGGGTCGACCCTATTTGGTGCATGCAAGACATGATCATAATTCTAATAAATAGTGAATCATATATAAAAGCTGTATGGTGGTAATTGTAATGCATAGAAAATCATAGAAAATAACAGTACCGACCGATTTTGTCTATTTTTTAAAGGAATTGAATGTGCTATATTGTAACCTATTTAAAAAGGGACTCACATTTATTTGTTTTTTTTTTTTTTAATTTATACATTAAATCAAGAATGCCATCTATCAGCATAATAAAACCTGTTATATTGTTATCATATTCTAGCTTTTTTGCATTAATTATACATTTTGGGACAATGTGTATATTGTATGACTAATAATGATAACAAATAGCAATGGAAACAAAACAATATATGTATATATGAATGTGCGCGTAGAAAGCACATATCACCCAAAAAAGTTAATAAGTATTGAGATACTAAACCAAAAGAAAATAAACTCACCTGGAATTTAGTTAAAGCAGCTGTAAATTCATCCACTAATCGGTCTCTTTGAATTTTTAAATGACGTTCTTTGCATTTTTCAACTTCACTTAATTGAATGCTCGTATCCATTACCAATTGATTTGTATAAGTCATAATTTGATGCCTGTAACGGTGTAAGAAAATACAAAATTAGCAAAGAGAAGATGATTTTCATAAAATCTAAATCAATTAAAATAACATGAAGAATAACTTCAAGCAAATATTTCTTAAGAATGCTAATTTGCTCAATAACAAAGGAATATATAGATAGAAGAGACTGAAGATATTAAAATACAATTATAAAAAAAATATTTTTTTACGACAGAGTTAACGTTCTATTTACGTCGAATCGAGTTTCTAAGACATTTGAAACACGCAAACGCCAAAAAACAAAATTAATTAATTGCTTCATCAAAACAATGCACAGTTGCCTAAGAAATCATGTAACTCCAGATCTGGTCACTATTATTTCTCTTCTCAAAATAATGATGGGGGAAATGTATTTGTTCCCAAATTGGTACAAAGTATGAAGGAAATGACATAGTGATCGAAAGGGCCTAATAAGTGATGGTGTGGACTATAATGACAATAGGACAGAAATAATTGTTGATTAGTAGACCTCGGATTTTGCATATTTGCATATTTTTTAATAATGAAGATATCGAAATTCTGATTGGACACAAATTCGTTTCAAAGGATTTAGAATTATTTGAAGGGTTCATATTTTTTAATTTTTTGCATATTTGCATATTTTGCATATGCACGAGATATGCAAAAAATATGCAAAATATGCAAAAAATATGCAAAATATGCAAAAAATATGCAAAATATGCAAAATATATGCAAAATATGCAAAAAATATGCAAAATATGCAAAATATATGCAAAATATGCAAAAAATATGCAAAATATGCTAGGTCGATATGCAATAAATATGCAAAATATATGCATAAAATATGCAAAATATATGCTAAAATATGCAAAAATATGCAAAATATGCACGGTATGCTAGGTCGATATGCGATAAATATGCACGATATGCTAGGTCGATATGCTATAAATATGCAAAAATATGCAAAACTATTCAAAATATGGAAAAATATGCAAATATATGCAAAATATGGAAAAATATGCAAAATATGCAAAATATATGCAAAATATGCAAACATATGCAAAATATGCAAAAATATGCAAAATATGCAAAATATATGCAAATATGCAAACATATGCAAAAATATGCAAAATATGCAAAATATGCAAACATATGCAAAATATGCAAAAATATGCAAAATATGCAAACATATGCAAAATATGCAAAAATATGCAAAATATTTGCAAATATGCAAAATATGCAAAAATATGCAAACATATGCAAAATATGCAAAAATATGCAAAATATATGCAAATATGCAAACATATGCAAAAATATGCAAAATATGCAAAATATATGCAAAATATGCAAAAATATGCAAAATATGCAAAAATGTGCAAAATATGCAAAAATATGCAAAATATATGCAAATATGCAAACATATGCAAAAATATGCAAAATATGCAAAATATATGCAAAATATGCAAACATATGCAAAATATGCAAAAATATGCAAAATATATGCAAAATATGCAAACAATATGAAAAATATGGGCAAAAATATGCAAAATTATGCAAACATATGCAAAATATGCAAAAATATGCAAAATATATGCAAATATGCAAACATATGCAAAAATATGCAAAATATGCAAAATATATGCAAAATATGCAAACATATGCAAAATATGCAAAAATATGCAAAATATGCAAAATATATGCAAAATATGCAAACATATGCAAAATATGCAAAAATATGCAAAATATATGCAAAATATGCAAACATATGCAAAATATGCAAAATATGCAAAATATATGCAAAATATGCAAACATATGCAAAATATGCAAAATATGCAAAATATATGCAAAATATGCAAAAAATATGCAAAATATGCAAAAATATGCAAAATATATGCAAACATATGCAAACATATGCAAAATATACAAAAAAATATGCACGGTATGCTAGGTCGATATGCGAGAAATATGCAAAAAATATGAAAAATATAGGCAAAAATATGCAAAATATGTGCAAATATGAGCAACATATTTCACATATGCAATCATTTTAATCAAAAAAAAAAAAAAAAAAAATCAGGGTAGTTTTCGAATTTGTGTGCTTTCTTTATTTTTAACCTATAAAAATCTAATTGTGTATGTATGCGTTTCATGGTTCAACTGTTAGATTTTTGGGGCATTATGAAAAATTTGCTAAATATATGTATAAAACATGCAAACATATATAACCGTTATATGACGATATACTAAAACGTGGACCGATATATCCCATTTCCAATACCAAACATCCTAGGAGTAATAATAATATATGTGCAAAATTTCAAAGTTCTATCTTTAATATTGCGACCTAGCATACCGTGCATATATTTTGCATATGTTTGCATATTTTGCATATATTTTGAATATTTTGCATATTTTTGCATATTTTTGCATATTTTGCATATTTTTGCATATTTTGCATATGTTTGCATATTTTGCATATTTTTGCATATTTTTGCATATTTTGCATATTTTTTTGCATATTTTGCATATTTTTGCATATTTTGCATATGTTTGCATATTTTGCATATATTTTGCATATTTTGCATATGTTTGCATATTTTGCATATTTTGCATATTTTTGCATATGTTTGCATATTTTGCATATATTTTGCATATTTTTGCATATTTTGCATATGTTTGCATATTTTTGCATATTTTGCATATGTTTTGCATATTTTGCATATTTTTGCATATTTTGCATATGTTTGCATATTTTTGCATATTTTGCATATGTTTGCATATTTTGCATATTTGCATATATTTTGCATATTTTTGCATATTTTGCATATGTTTGCATATTTTGCATATTTGCATATTTTGCATATTTTTGCATATTTTGCATATGTTTGCATATTTTGCATATTTTGCATATTTTTGCATATGTTTGCATATTTGCATATATTTTGCATATTTTGCATATGTTTGCATATTTTTGCATATGTTTGCATATTTTTGCATATTTTGCATATGTTTGCATATTTTGCATATATTTTGCATATTTTTGCATATTTTGCATATTTTTGCATATTTTGCATATGTTTGCATATTTTGCATATATTTTGCATATTTTTGCATATTTTGCATATGTTTGCATATTTTGCATATTTGCATATATTTTGCATATTTTGCATATATTTTGCATATTTTTGCATATTTTGCATATGTTTGCATATTTTTGCATATTTTGCATATGTTTACATATTTTGCATATTTGCATATATATTTTGCATATGTTTGCATATTTTTGCATATTTTGCATATGTTTGCATATTTTGCATATATTTTGCATATTTTGCATATTTTGCATATTTTTGCATATTTTTGCATATTTTGCATATTTTTGCATATTTTGCATATGTTTGCATATTTTGCATATTTTTGCATATTTTTGCATATTTTTGCATATTTTGCATATTTGCATATATTTTGCATATTTTGCATATTTTTGCATATTTTGCATATGTTTGCATATTTTGCATATATTTTGCATATATTGCATATTTTGCATATTTTTGCATATTTTTGCATATTTTGCATATTTTTGCATATTTTGCATATTTTGCATATTTTTGCATACTTTTGCATATTTTGCATATTTTGCATATTTTGCATATTTGCATATATTTTGCATATTTTTGCATATGCATATGTTTGCATATTTTGCATATATTTTGCATATTTTGCATATGTTTGCATATTTTGCATATTTTGCATATTTTGCATATTTTGCATATTTTTGCATATTTTTGCATATTTTGCATATTTTTGCATATTTTGCATATGTTTGCATATTTTGCATATTTTTGCATATTTTTGCATATTTTTGCATATTTTGCATATTTGCATATTTTTGCATATTTTGCATATGTTTGCATATTTTGCATATATTTTGCATATTTTGCATATTTTGCATATTTTTGCATATTTTTGCATATTTTGCATATGTTTGCATATTTTGCATATGTTTGCATATTTTGCATATTTTTGCATATTTTTGCATATTTTGCATATTTTGCATATTTTGCATATTTGCATATATTTTGCATATTTTGCATATTTTGCATATTTTTGCATATTTTGCATATGTTTGCATATTTTGCATATTTTGCATATTTTTGCATATGTTTGCATATTTGCATATATTTTGCATATTTTGCATATGTTTGCATATTTTTGCATATTTTGCATATGTTTGCATATTTTGCATATTTGCATATATTTTGCATATTTTTGCATATTTTGCATATGTTTGCATATTTTGCATATTTGCATATTTTGCATATTTTTGCATATTTTGCATATGTTTGCATATTTTGCATATTTTGCATATTTTTGCATATGTTTGCATATTTGCATATATTTTGCATATTTTGCATATGTTTGCATATTTTTGCATATTTTGCATATGTTTGCATATTTTGCATATTTGCATATATTTTGCATATTTTTGCATATTTTGCATATGTTTGCATATTTTGCATATTTGCATATTTTGCATATTTTTGCATATTTGCATATATTTTGCATATTTTGCATATATTTTGCATATTTTTGCATATTTTGCATATGTTTGCATATTTTTGCATATTTTGCATATGTTTACATATTTTGCATATTTGCATATATATTTTGCATATGTTTGCATATTTTGCATATTTTTGCATATTTTGCATATGTTTGCATATTTTGCATATATTTTGCATATTTTGCATATTTTTGCATATTTTTGCATATTTTGCATATTTTTGCATATTTTGCATATGTTTGCATATTTTGCATATTTTTGCATATTTTTGCATATTTTTGCATATTTTGCATATTTGCATATATCTTGCATATTTTGCATATTTTTGCATATTTTGCATATGTTTGCATATTTTGCATATATTTTGCATATTTTGCATATTTTGCATATTTTTGCATATTTTTGCATATTTTGCATATTTTTGCATATTTTGCATATGTTTGCATATTTTGCATATTTTTGCATATTTTTGCATATTTTGCATATTTTGCATATTTTGCATATTTGCATATTTTGCATATTTTTGCATATTTGCATATTTTGCATATTTTTGCATATTTTGCATATTTTTGCATATGTTTGCATATTTGCATATATTTTGCATATTTTGCATATGTTTGCATATTTTTGCATATTTTGCATATGTTTGCATATTTTGCATATTTGCATATATTTTGCATATTTTTGCATATTTTGCATATGTTTGCATATTTTGCATATTTGCATATTTTGCATATTTTTGCATATTTTGTATATGTTTGCATATTTTTGCATATTTTGCATATTTTTCCATATTTTGCATATCGACAATGCATATTTTGTATATTTTTTGCATATATTTATCGCATATCGACCTAGCATACCGTGCATATTTTTTGCATATTTTGCATATTTTTGCATATTTTGCATATTTTTTGCATATTTTTTGCATATTTTGCATATTTTTTGCATATTTTGCATATTTTTTGCATATTTTGCATATTTTTTGCATATTTTGCATATTTTTTGCATATTTTTTGCATATATTTTGCATATTTTTTGCATATATTTTGCATATTTTTTGCATATTTTTGACATGACCCCAAATATCGATCAATTAAAGCATGAAACGCCTAAATACAAAATTTGAGTCCAATCGGATAAAGCATAAAAAATATGCAAAAATCCGAGGTCTATTGATTAGTAATTGTGGTGCTCTAACCAGATCTACTCTGAGATGGAATCGCTCTAATAGATCTTGGAGGCCGTCGACGGATTTATTCACCGCTCAGACCTGTAGCTGTTTCAGACCTGCTTCTATTGACAATTGGTATACCCTTCACCACACTGTGGTACAGGGTATTATGTCTTTGTGTATATGTTATATCGCTGTTTTTAACGTTAGATGTCTACATTTTTGTGTGAACATATAGTTTGACTAGACGAACAATAATCAAACAAAAAGTCAATTTCGAATTTTTCTGCAGTTATGTCCGTTTGCATTTATGATGACGATATTCTCTGTAATCAGGTTTGATGTTCAATATTATACTCAAAACAAAGCATAATATTAATGTTTTCATAATGCCCGAGGTACATATTATGACCCCATATGACAACAATTCCGGATAATTGAAATCAACAAGTGTCCATTACTTACAATTGTTTCTTTAAGTCGGGAGAATCCTGAGGTGTGTTACATTGATTGACCATACGTTGCATTGTCACCACTGAAATAGTTAAATAAATATGTAAGCTGAATATATTCGCAAATAAATCCTTATTCGTATTACTTACCATTTTGTTGGATTTTCTGTATACTGGTGGCAATGGTTTGGGCCAATCTTTGAAAATCAATTTCACTCAAGGTCTGTGAGTTGCTGTTATTGCCACCAATTCCACTCCCACCACCGCCGCCACCACCTATGCCATTTTCCATATGCTGCAAATCCATGCTTTCGTAGTTCAGTTTGAAGGCGATTCGTATAAAATTCCTTTGTAACAACAATCAATTAGAGGGCGGTTTACTGAAGCATAAAACCAAAGTAAATTAATAATAAATTCTTATACGTATATAAGTGTATAAACATATATAACACACAGTGAGACCTTGTAATTCGATTATAAGGCCTAATGTGTATGTGAGAGTTTTTATTTTTTAATTTTCTGTTCATTGGTTTCAACCTATATTTTGTTGTTACGATCTATGTAATATAGCATTGTTGTTGTTGTAAAGACACAAAGTAATTGTTTAACATGTTATGAATTGCAATATCACAATTGGGTTTGACTCATTCATTTTGTAAATCCCTCAAATATTTGTTGGTATTTCTGAGCTATTGTCCAAATTATTTGTTAATTATTTTTTACCTTTTTCAGCCCTCTTTTTACAAGTTTTTTTGTTATATTATTTGTAATGTTAAGAATGCCTCCCCAATTCTTTTTATGTGATTTCACTTCTTTTTTATTTTTTGCATAAAAGTGACGTAGTTCTGCTTCTCTACCGTCGTTGACGTTCGTTGACTTTCACAAGAAACAAACGATTTCCAAAATGCGTTTTAATTATTATTCCCTTTCAATTGAGTGTTTTCTCACTTTTTATCTTTGTTTTTGTTTCCGCTACATTAATTATCTCTGCTTGCAACTTTTATTTATTTAATCATTTAAATAATCATCGACGACGACTATAAAATATTTTTTTCGCTTTGTTTTCTTTCTACTCGATTAATCGAATTTTGTGAGAATAAACTAAACAAATTGAAAAACGTTCCACTGACAAACTGTCCGACAAAGAAGAACAAAAGGAGTACAAGGAAATATTTACGAATGAGGTGGGATGGAGACTACATGAGAAAGTTAACACACACTGTCCGTGAATGCCCTCAGTGTTGAGTCGAATGTGAAGTTGCCATACTTTCCAAGACCAGTGGTAACACTGGTCTTGGGGAAAAGTAGCATTTCTTTAACCGTAACGGAAAAGAAAGCATCAATTAGTTGAATTTAGATTTAAAAAATGGTTATTCGTTTCGTGATTACAAAAATATGGGACTGGAATTTGGCTTTATTATTATGGGACTTTATTACGATTTATTTGAAATATATACAATGGAATTGATAATTTAAACCCACCGGGTTAAGATAATCCGGTACAATGGAAACGTACTATAAAGCAAATTTTCAGTTGAAAGCCTGACATTGACGAAAATGAATCGCTTAACTCTCTCACAACGCATAATAATTATCAAACCCTATTTTACAAATGGTGATTCTGACGCAGCCACATAAATCGTTTTAAGAGCTTTAAAAGGCGATTATGGTTTACATAATCGCAGTAGTTGGAAGATGCAAAATTGACGTTTTTGGGGTTCTAAGACATCTCAAGTTATTGAAGAAAGGTCATTAAGCGAGAAACATATAAGAAGACTTCAGGCATGACATGTTAAGTTCGCCTTGTTTGTTGTTATTGGCCGAAAGGTCTGATTGGAGCTCACCTCTTCGACGATGGAACGATTGTCACCGTCGGAGCATTATGGTGATATGGTAAACGACTTTTCTGCCTATACTGGAGAATGCTACTTTTAGAATATGTCGTTTAAACAAGACGTGGCCAGGCATATCCTGGCCGCGTCATTACTCGTCCTGTCAATATTAAATGGCTACCAAGATTATACGATAAACCGTCTACACACAAGGAAACACCAACCTTTATTAAATTATGGCTTAGATACCGCACAATTTTCGTCAAAAGTGGTCGAAAATTACTCCGAAATACTTAATTACTTAGCTGGCTTATGACAGAACGGTTGTTCCATAAGTCGAGTTTAAAAATTTTTTCCAGGCGCTTCGGTCTTGTGCGAATCTCATCCAATTGGAAAGACCATTATCCGAGATGTTGTCTTCAACTTGATCTTTTCATCGGATTTGTGGCCATACCCATCACTTGGTTCGCTTTTATATGCTTTTGAGCTGGGGCATCTTCTTCCATTCGCACAAGTAGTCGCTGCATCTCGATACGTCTGACTATCGATGTCCGAGAATAGATGGTATAGCTCATGGTTCATTCGACGGCGGTATTCACCGCCTATAAATCTTCCGGAAAATTTTTCTCTCAAACACTCCAAGAGCTGCCTCATCTGCTTGCGCAAGTACCCATGCTTCAGATCCATACAACAGCAGCGTCTTCTAGAGTGTGAGTTTCGTCTGGCGAGAGGTGGCCTTGCTCTGGAGTTGCTTACTCAGACCATAGTAGCATCTGTTATATTTCACAGCTGATGTTTTTAGTTTTGTTTATGGCGGTACCAAGGTATATAAAATAGTTCACTACCTCGAAGCTGTCGTTTTCAAGTTCCACAGTCGGTCCGATTCTACTGGACGTTTTGCGCGTTGATGCCATCAGCTTGGTCTTTTCGCCATTTACTGTCAGTCCCACTTTGCCAGACTCCTTCTCAATTCTTTCAGATGTGGCTGTTACCACTCGCAATTTGATGTACAGAGTGGCATTTCTGTTCACCTTTGTGTCTCGTATGACCTTTTCCAGCAGGACGTTAAAAATATCACACGACAAACTGTCACCTTCCTACTTTAACTGCTTATCTTGTGCCACTCAAAGTTATCCTGCATGGTCGTATTAATTTTGCAGGAATGCCGAACGCCTTAAACACCTCTGAATGAATAGGGCTGTCGAATGCGGCTTTATAGTCGACGAATAGGTGAAATGTGTCGATATGTTTTTCGTGGGTCTTTTCCAGGATTTGGCGCAGAGTGAAAATCTGGTCAATTGTAAAGTAGTAGTTCAGGTTAATCTTCTTTCATTTGTAATTGTTTTCGAAATTTGTTTTTTATTAATTAAAAATATACCCCCTTTTCAAAACGGGAAATGGACCAAGAATTTGATATTTACTTTAGCGTATAACCTTTGTCGCTTATACGCCCCAATATTATTCCATTCCTCTTTTACGCACAGAATACAACCCTGTCAAGTTATTGACATTTAATTCGCCGCAAAAACAATTTTGCTTTGACGAGAAACTGCAGCGAATTGGACTCAGAAATTCTTCGTTTTTTTCGTGACACATCTATCGTGTGAGGTGTGGTTGTAATTTTTTGTTAAATTCATTTAAAATATTTAACAAAACACCAAAATACTACAAGCAATTCATACAGTACACTTAGTGAATTAGGAATATAGACAGTGTGAACCATGGCGAACAGATTACCGGCATGTGTGATTGATGTGGGCACCGGGTAAGAAGTAGTTGTCGGTCATTGTGGCAGAAGTGGAGAAAAAAAACATGAAAAAGTTTTTTTTTCTGCTTCACTTGACAAAACTGGGACACAGTGCAACGACTCTTTGGGGCGAGTGTCAGAAATCTAAATAAGGATTTTGTTATTTCTGTCCTTTTGCAGATACACGAAATTGGGATTTGCTGGCAACAAGGAACCACAATTTATTATTCCCTCTGCCATTGCCATTAAAGAATCAGCCCGTGTGGGTGACACCAATAGCCGTCGCATTACCAAAGGTGTTGAAGATTTGGATTTTTATATAGGCGATGAGGCCTTTGATGCAACTGGCTATTCCGTCAAGGTAAGTGGTGCTGCTGGCAGTCAATTAGATTAGAAATTTATTAATTATAGTGATTGGTGGGTACGGTGATACATATGCAAGTTTTCAACTATGTTTAGTGCGTTTGTGTGTGTGCCGCCTTACCAAACCAAAATGACTAATCAATTGTTATCTTTATTTGTTGGTTTTCTTTACGCTTTTTTTTGTTATGAATAATCTTTATCGTGGTTTTGTTTTTAAATTAATTTCTAGTATCCCGTCCGCCATGGTTTGGTCGAAGATTGGGACTTGATGGAACGTTTCCTGGAACAGTGTGTCTTTAAATATTTAAGAGCCGAACCTGAAGATCATCATTTCTTGTTAACAGAACCGCCATTGAATACTCCAGAAAACCGCGAGTATACTGCCGAAATTATGTTTGAAACTTTTAATGTTCCTGGTCTATATATTGCTGTACAGGTATTTATATATTTGAAATGAAAAGAGAGTGATCAATGTTTTAATTGATTTTGTTTGTACTGTTTTCAGGCCGTTTTGGCTTTGGCCGCCAGTTGGGCTTCCAGACCAGTTGAGGAACGTACCCTCACTGGCATTGTAGTTGATAGTGGCGATGGTGTTACTCATGTCATTCCAGTGGTAAGTTGCTTCGAACAAGGATAACAAGAATTCCTTAAAATATAGGAAATGGATTTCGGAAACAAAAAAATCAATTAGAGAAGAGGATGTTTTAAATTGCATTAAAAACTATAGAACATAAAGAATTAAAACAAATAGCGCGCAAAAGTTACTAAATTATGGTATGGTATATTTATAATTATACCATCAGTCGTATGACTATAAAAGAGTAATATTACGACTAAAAATATTCCACACCGACAACCCAGATTTAGACATAAATTTTGTTTCTTGGCCAGCTAGCCCACGTTATAACTTTAGAATGACCCAATCTCAAGAGGAAGAAGATCGATCCCATCCTAATATCACTCAAGAGGGAGATGATCGGTCAAATCCTAGTATCTCGACCGTACAAACTATTAACAAAAATCTGTCTAATTAAATTTCCGTTTAAATGTAGTTGCAGACAATTTGGAATGTCTTTAGAAATTACATTCACCTGCCTGTCTGTGAATGAAAGTGAACAAGTGAATAAAATATTCGAATTTATCGAAATCTGTACAGCCTAATATTTTTCAATAAATCCTGGTCAAATCCAAAAATACATCCTCTCGGTCTTCTGCCTCAAAGGGTGAAAATTTTGAAAACTTTCACATGAGGTAGATTGTTTTAAAGGATGCGCGGTTTTGAGATTTTGATTCGCTACACTCGTAGATTATTGGCTAATTTTTACATCTGATATAAAGCGAATTGAATATTGGTCTGCGCCTTAATATATATTTCCAAAACTAAAGTCAAGTCCATTGATAGCGTCGGAACGAACTTTTTATTCCCTCCAACATAAGTGGGCATTCAAAATACATAATGAAAATATGTTAATCTTATAATTATTTAATTTAATTTTTCTCTCTTATATAATTCCAGGCCGAAGGTTATGTCATTGGCTCATGTATTAAACATATACCAATTGCTGGACGCAACATCACCTCTTTCATTCAGAGCCTATTACGCGAACGTGAAGTCGGTATACCACCCGAACAAAGTTTAGAAACTGCCAAAGCTATTAAAGAGAAGCATTGTTATATATGTCCCGATATAGCCAAAGAATTTGCTAAATATGATGCTGAACCGGGTAAATGGATACGCAATTATACCGGCATCAATGGTGTTACGAAGCAACCATTTACCGTCGATGTCGGCTATGAACGATTTTTAGGTCCAGAGATTTTCTTCCATCCGGAATTTTCAAATCCTGACTTTACCATACCGATATCGGAAATTGTCGATAATGTTATACAAAATTGTCCCATTGATGTTCGAAGGCCATTGTATAATAATATCGTTTTAAGTGGTGGCTCAACAATGTTTAAAGACTTTGGTCGTCGTTTACAACGAGACATTAAACGTTCGGTGGATACACGTTTGCGTATAAGTGAAAATCTATCTGAGGGAAGAATAAAGGTAAGCTAAAAGAATTTCTTTGGGGAGTTATAAATTGTAAATGATTTAAAGATTACGATATGATTGATCTGCTTTGTGTGTACGACCTTCACCAGTCGGCTTGTTTTATTTAGCTTTTTATTCGTATATAACTTTTATTTCTTCGTTATTTGTAGCCTAAACCCATTGATGTTCAAGTCATTACCCATCATATGCAGCGCTATGCCGTTTGGTTTGGTGGCAGTATGTTGGCTTCAACTGTAAGTACCGACGGAAAAAATCAATTGCTATACCACTAAAACACATTACTAATCAATTTCTATATTTTTTTATATCTTTCAGCCGGAATTCTATCAGGTTTGTCACACAAAAGCTGCCTACGAAGAATATGGACCCGGAATTTGTCGTCACAATCCAGTATTCGGTACTATGACATAATTACGCATTTCTACTTCAAAAAAGGGTCGTTCTTTTTATTATTATTAAATATTCTATTGTGGATTCGGTTCGTTCTATAATTATCATTGGTTCTTCTTCTGTGTCTTCGGTTAAATAAGACAAAAAATGCATTTCGTTGTACTTCTTAATAATTGTTTTCTATTTTCCCAACACGGCGTCACAACTGTGATGGATCCAATTGTGTATTCCTCTAAGCTTAACGAAACAAAACAAAAAAACTGATGAACCTGTCAAGTCTAAGCGGTCTAGACTTTGTTTTTGCATTTTTATTTCTTTTTCGCCTGAGTATTAAATATTATACATATATAATTTTAATGTTTTTTTATAAATAACGTATATATATTTTAAACAAACAATACATTTAACAATATAAAATTTGGCCAAATGAAAAAATAAAATTTTACTAGAAATATATACTTCACAAAATTTCCTTCTCTCTCTCTCTCTCTCTCTCTCTCTCTACATATATACATTTTCCATGACATTCAAAATCTCCTAAACAAAAATCATTATTTCCCTCACTCTATATTATTTCATAACGATGAAGAATAAAGCTTTTCCTTAAATCTTAAGATAACAATTTCAAAAAGAAAATAAATAAACAATTATTTTTGGGTAGATTGAATCTAACTCAATAAAACATCAACTAAAATCGTTTCAAAACAAGTTTAATTTAAAAAAAACACACACATAACCACAATCTAAAATAATTCATCATAAACAAACATCATTAACATAACAAAATAAATATAATATACAACAATTTCTTTATACACAACATAATCGCCTTTGGTTTTAATTTTGCCAATAACACCATAGTATAAAAATAAACCAAACTTTTTTAAAACAAAACATTTTTGTGTGAAAAATAAGAAAACAACAACAAAAAGTGAATCAGAATATGAGAATTCTACATAATAAAAATATCCGTTTGTTACTTATATTGCAACAATAAAAATGATAAATAATAACAAAAACTCAAGTCAATATAAATTGATAATATTAAACAATTTAAATGGTGTGTTTTCCAACAAACAAACAAATTTGCAATAGTTCATCTGTGTCATGAAAAGTAATTAATTTTCGAACTCAATAAAACTGAAGAATCAAGGACGAGACATAGCATATGCTGAATATTGGTAAGATATTTTTTTATTTCCTTCTTCGTAGACTACATATATTTTATTATATCGATCAAGCATTCCGAAAATAAATATATGCAAGTTATATATAAAAATATTTTTCTCGAAAATTAAATTCTCCGAAGATGAATAATGAATTGAAACCAAAAATTAAATGAGAGCAATTCGATATATATTTTTCTAAAATGTCTTTTGGTACAAATCTAGTAAGAATTTTTTATTCTATACATTTTCTTCAAAATGTGTTCACAATTGTTTTTTTTTTTCTTTTTTTTTTTTTGACTACTACTCCTTAATGGCATAATTACAGAAGGTAGTCTCATTTGAGAAATTAATAATGGCAACACTTTTTAATTTGGAACTCATCTATTAATTTAAAATTTTTTGAAAAATAAATTCCATAAAAGTTTATGCATGTCGAATTGCATATTTTTTAAAAAATTAGGAATGTATACTTTCTGTAAATAATATATATATTTTTTATTAATATTGCTCTTAAGTTATAACAGTAGATGTTACGCATTATATTTATAGATTATAGAGGCTGGGATCTTCAAGATATTAAAAATTTTGTACTTATTGCCACTGAACATTGTGCATACATTTCGAAGGAGGATATTTAAAATTTAATTTAAAATTTGAAGGCTGAATGCTGTCCAACGTACAATTATGAAAAAATTGGAATTATATACCCGCATGAGACTACCTTGTGTAATAAAAAATATTCATTTAATATGAAGTGAATTGAATAACCGATTTGATCTTAGCAAATCTAAATAAAATTTCATCGGGTACCTCTCAACTGATAGTCATTTTAATAACAACAAATATTTAATTCAACGTATTTCCCGCCAACATTAAAATAACATAAAAGATCTTCAGCCCAATCGTCAAAAATAATTCCGTGGGGAATTTCTCTCTTCTCCCTTTTCCCCAATTGTAAAGAAAATTCCGCGCGGAATTCCCTTTTTTACATCTCATGTTTTAATACTATTTTTATGCAACAGTGTAAAATAGGAGTTAAAGGGAGAAAGGAGAAAAAGTAGGCATCATAAGAAAGTTCGATTTGTGTTTTTCCTCTCAAAATATCTCACAAACAAAATCGAAGAGAGACAAAAAATGTAAGTATGGATTTTCAAACATATATCTAAAAAGAAATAAATTAATAAATTCTTTGTAAGCCGAAGTCAAATAAAACCCAATTGCAGCATTTAGTGTCAGTGATGGAATTACATCATAAATGAGTTCAATTCGATGGGACCAGCAAATAAGGGCATCGCCGAATGGACAAATGTTTAGTACACATCTATTTGCATAGAATAATCCATTCATTCTTCAAAATCACTTAAAATATGTTTAGGCTGACCAAAAAAAAAAAAAAAAAAAAAAATATGGCAAATAAGGCAAAAAGCTGCGCAGAATTTAAAATACAAAACAGGAACTAGAGGCGGCCCAAACAAGGAGAACAAATTAAGCACCGAAGAAGCTATCTACAATCTTATTGAAATGAATTCGTCTGTAGACGGTGTTGCAGTAAACTCTGTTGGTCTTGACGATGATGAAGAGATGCAGCGAATATTTAAGTACTGTCGGTGAAGAAAAAGGATCAAATAAGCATTTTAATAAAGTCAGCCAATCGGCGATGAAAAGAAAGACGAAGAAATCAACAATGTGACGAGCGCAACATCATTGGAAATAATTAAAATTGAATTGGATACGCAAAAACAACTTTTGGAATACATAAAAAAAATTAAGTAGGATCAAAAAACCCAAAATGGGTATCAAAAGCGAATATACAGAGCAATTGAAAAATTGGGCGATCTTCAGAAAAAAAAACTTATCAAGTAATGGAAAAATTCGAAGAAAATGAACTGGATGAAATGAAGCACAATAACATTCTGATGGAAAAGTTACGAATACGGGCGGTAGATTTCAAATTGGCAAAAACAAACCTGCAATTGGTAATCGTTAGAATTCCAGACATGTTTCCCTTGTAGGAGTATGTTACGCCAACACTTCCAACAAGTATTGGAATGCTGGTTTTCTTACCCGGTAGTATTTTTTGAATCTGCTGGGAAGTACATATCAGATGTTTCAATTATTTTTAATGATTGTGACAATTCAAGAGGATTGGAACTATCTCGCAATTGTCTTCTTGACAATCTTGTAGAAGTTCTTTGTTGCTCTCTGAAAGTAGCAACACTTTTATTATAATACTATTAATTTTTTTGGTTTCAATTCTTTATTTCTTTTTAATTATTTCGTACAAAACAAGCACTTTAAATTTGCGCAAACAAATAAGGGTACACAAAGTATGAAAAAGACACACAGTTGATTAAAAAGAGATGCCATATTCCAAAAATTTTACCCCTATATTTTCCACGATTGGAGGATTTTTCTCTCGAGAGAAATGGTTTTCGTGGGAATAGAATTTCTCCCACATTTTGGGGATTGGGCTGCTTAGTTACGACCATAATCTCCTCATTCTTCAAAAATTCTTCCCAAAGAGCATATAGTTGATGAAGTTGAAGTTTTTATTGAAAGATGCAATCGACAAAAAAACCAAATTATTTGTAAGCATATAAGACTTTTTTTGTTCATTTATTATGTTCCATTGACACACCAAAATACAAATGGTATATGTATGTATTAAATATATATATAATATGCTTAATAAATTGAAATAAGTACCAAAAAAACTACAATTTCATAATTTTACCAAATTCAGTTAATTTAATTATGACTCTGCAATTTGTGGGATATATAATAACAAATAAGCAAATTTTTAGTTGCGCTCTTACAAAAATTAACAAATTATTATTATTTTTATTATAAATATTAAAGTGTTTTCAATTTTTCTTTTAAATACATTGTGTATATAATAGAATTTGTTAAATTTAATCTATTTAAAATAGAACATTTTTAATATATTTCTGATGCTAGTAATAAAAAGTTGTATTTGTTTGTTCTACATTTTGAGAGTGATATAGAGGAAGGAGAGAATAATCATTGGTGGTGGTGTTTGCATTTTAACTACATCGCTTTTATTTTTGTTTTTAAAAAATTGTTTCAAAAATTGTGTTAAATTGTTTTATGAATAGTAGATATATATTTTTTAATTTAATATATCAAAAAGTCTTTAAGACTTTTTGTATGTTTAATAGACATACATGTAAAGCCATATGGGTATTAATTCTAAAACGTTTGTTTATTTGTTGTTTTTTGCTTGCATAAAATAAAGGAGGCCAAATAGTTTTTTTAATCAAAATAATCGGTTGTATCTTCTTCGGTTGAATCATTTCCTTCATTATCACCTGGTTGCAAGTTTTCGGTGGCACTTCGCACACTTTGTATGAATTCACGCATGGCAAGGACAATATCGGTAAATGATTGGCGCAACACTGCTCCTATATATGTGGATTGTGAAATGAAATTTACAAAAAAGATTTTAAACAAATTGCAAATAAATTTATTAACCTTCTCCAGTGCCAGCAGCTGCATTATCCAAATTCATATTTAATGCCTGTAGATGACGATCAACTTCAGCCACTTCATTGGCAGCATCGGCTGGTACCTGAGCCGCAACTCTTGCTGCAGCTTGTTCCACATTGGCAACAACCTGTTGCTGCTGTTGTTGTTGGGCATCTGCAGCATTGGCTGCGGCGGCAGCATTTTGTAAATTAAATGTGGGTAATAGGGATTGGAAAAACATTGAAACAGAACGATTGCTGGCTGTGGTGGGGCTACTTGATGAAGATTTCCTATATAGAATATAATTTTTTAAAAATATGCTATTTTATTTGTTTGCTATGTTTACCAACCTTTCGTAAAAATTAACTGAATCAAGTGGTGGCAATGGATCATACATCATTATGGGATCTTTCTCCTTGGCCACAAATGGTGCCAATGGCACTTTCTCCTTGTAATCTGAGAGTATAACATGTCGTAATATTGGTCGGGGTGGTTGAACATAACGTGCCGATCTCTTTTGTTTATAGTCTTGTATGACTTCATCTTTACTTTCAATACGATCCAATGCAGCATTAACATTACGCTCCAACCATGGTAAAATGTTATTTTGACGCCAAATAACTTTAGCCCGACAAACGTACAATGAAACCAGTTGATGTAGTGCAGGTGATTGGCTGTAAGATATTATACACTTATGGAGTTAAACAAATAAATATATTTAAACATTTCCTGAATTACCTTCCCGAAACTTCAGAGTTGAAATATGAATTGCTCAATACCCGTTTATCGGTCTGAACGGATAGCTCATCCAATAATGGTTTCAGTACGCCCGGAAACATGAGTAAAGCATATTGCAATGCTTTATCGGCATTTTCATTATCTAAAGTTTTGAAATGGGAAAATATAAGAGAAAAGGAATATGTTACAATTTGGAAAGATAATTGGATTGTGGCAAACTGAACATGGTTTTTGGTCTATAAAAACCATTTGCATTTGTATAATGAATTTAAATTGTTTTCACCTATTAATAACATTTATTGATTTATAGTTTCCTGTTCAATCGTATCATAATAACTTGAAAACTTACCACCATTCAACAAGAACAATGCCAAAGCATACGAATACGCCATATTGGGTAATTGTGATAAATTGCGTACAACATTATACTCTTCGTAGAATTTCACCAACCATGCATGCTGTTTACTGCGTATGGCAAAATAATCAATGATCAAAACCATTGCCAATGGGTCTACTTCAGGATTAAGACTTAGTATTAATTTTGATATTTCAAATGCGGTACGGCAACAAGCACGCGCTTCCAAATATTGAGCATGCTTGAAAAGTACCACAAATAGTGCACGATTTTCTTGACGTCTATAGTCGAGGCGACAATTGCCATTTGTTAGGCTAAAACTTGGATGTAGTGAGGTTTCCAAAACCAGCACAGCTCTTTCGATTAATTCGGCAGCAAGAGAAAAATCTTCTGTCATTTTGCCTACAAAAAGATTAAATAATATTTTAGCTATAAACAGAAATAAAATAATTAAAACAAATATCTTACACATTTCACTTAATTGTATTAACGAATCCACGTGATACGGACAGCGACCAATTAAGTTTATCAAAAAATCAGAATCGGTTCTTTCCAATGCCGATAAAAATAGATTTTGTACACCTTGATAATATTGACTGTGCTCAAAGGCGAACCATTGCACCTTATCCATTGGTCCCACACGAGACGACATTGTCGAGGTGGAGGTTGCATTATCGGGTGCCTGGCATGGTCTCATATTGATTATATTTTTAGTTATTGGTGGCCACGAGTCCTTAGGTGTTACCAAATATGTTGATTTTAATGTCAACTTTTGACGTCCACGTTTGTTTCTAAAAAACAAAAGAAAGTGGAAAATAAATACATGCATTGTATACAATTAATATGTTTTTAGAAATAAGCTATACATACTCGATTTTGACTACACGTTTACCGAATGTACGCCTCATCTCATTTTGTGGATTAAGATTTTTCAATTCCACAGCCAATAAGGATTTGTCAATTTCAATCCTTGGTGTTGTTAATTTTGGATTTTGTGCAGTCGCCGCTGATACTTTGTTAAGTAGAGGATCATCAATATCATTGATAAATTTGTCAGTGAGCTGTATTGAGGGGAGAAGGCAAGAAAATATATATATTGTGGATATGTAAGTAACAATTAAAAAAATGGTTGATGTTTAAACCCATTATAGGATTAAGAAATCGAATAAGCCAATATCTGCAGTTTACTTTTATATTGAATCTATACTTGTAACTATGCACAAATATTCCAATTTTAATACAAGACATCCATCACAGAATAGATATCTGCGTTCCAAGTTTTAGTCACCTAACATATCAAATTATATATTATTCAAATTATATCAAATTACCTCATTATCTTCACTGCTTATATGATTTCCCGTATATTTCGACTTCTTCTTACGCTTCTTCTTTTTCTTCTTCGAAGCAGCTGGACCGGCTTCAAGATTTGTTGCAGCCGAGGCATGTTCAGTTTCATTGTCATCCTCTTTGACTTCACTTTCCGAAAGACTTTGTTGATTCAGCTGGTAGAAATAGAGACAGAAAGGAAAAATCGAAACTATAAATCACACATTGATACTTATCAATATATCTTAAGCTATTACTAAAAAATAACGTATCTCTTGGTATAGTTTTCAATCAATTGTATACATATAACAACCAACATATGTTAAAATGTTGGTTAACAACTAACCTACATTCGTAACAGCATTTTGTGTATAATATGCTACATACATAGGAGGGGAAAAACTCAATAGGTTTTCCATGGGCCCTCAGAACACCCACCCACCCATTGACATGAAAACGGGCAATACGCAAATAACCAATTACAAAACTTACACATCCTTGTAAAATTGTAACTAGTTACCAAGAATCTCTAGTAATTCTTACCAAATCAAAAAAGTTCGATTTTCCCTTGCCACTTTGCAAATCGGGATCATCTTCGCCACCACTGCTCAACAGATTATCCACATCTTCATCATCAAGATTGGGTTGCAGTTCATCGCCACCTTGCAACTTCTTTAAGACTCGGGATGACATACTGGATGCACGTCCTCCTTTTGATTTCTAAGTAAACAGAAAATCGGACGAAAGATTTTTCGATGGATTAGTTTAATATTTTTATATATTTCTTATTTTTCTTCGCAATTTTTTTTAGAATTTTTCTCGAGTTGTGTCGTTTCTAAAGTTGGCAAACAAAAAGATGACACTATCGATAGTTTATTTTGTACGTCAGAATCGATTGACATATAATGCTCTTGATAATATCGATTACTGTCTGATGGTGACTTAACTAATTATGGGCGTTTTTATGGTATGGTACAATTATAAATGGTAACAGCAAATCCCAGCTGACTTGATTCCAACGTAATACTAGTGTCAATATGAAATTGACAAATTATGTTTTTAAAAATCAAACAATAGGAAAATTGCGAACGCATACAATTTGAAATTGTTTTTTTTTTTTTTTTATTAAATGTGTTCCCGTATTCCATTAACTCAATATGCATGCTGGGAAAGTTTGAGGAAGCAAATCTTTATTCATGGAATAACTCGCAATTCCCTGCATTTTCATATGTGTTACACATATAAGTGGCAATGGCTCAATTATAGAAAAGCTGTAGAAGCGATAGAAACATAAATTTGATAGATTTTCATTCATGTTTTTCAAATTTTATTTCGAGGATTCGAAAATATTTCATTTTCAAAATAAATCTAATTTGTTGATAATTTGTTTGTTTGTTTACATTTTTCTGTCAAATTACGTTTACACTAGTATAACTTACAACAATAAATTTCCATGTTGTTGTTGTATTGTTTGTTGTACAACAACAATTGCTGTTACCTTATATTCTATTATTGTACCATGGGAACAGACCATTAATTATTTGGTTATTTTTGTCACTGAGCACATATGGTTCACTCCCGTATTGCAATAATCTACTAATTTTTACTATATTCCTCGACATCATAAAGGAAAAAATTGTTATCGTAGTAAACAATTTTACATTATTGCTTCTTCTGGAACAGACCAATATTGTGCTTAGATTTCGAAGGGGGATAATCTAATGTCAATTTAGAAAGCTGAAATACCTTGCATGAAATATCTGCATGAGAATACCTTGCATAATCATGCCATGATGTCATTGTTGGAGCAAATAAATAGATTACTGCCAGGGGAAACAAAATACAAAACTATAGATGACCAAATTGAATATAACGAAAATGACGCGTGACCATCTAAAAACGTGGACCAGTTGTGGTAGAAAGTTTTTCCAGTACTATTCTTTAAAAAGCGTTTCCAAAATTCTCAAAATATAGAATATTGGGTGGGAAATACCAAAAAGTGGAAATATGAAAAGTAACTTTGTAGTGATGCGTTATTATGTTTTACATTATTAAAAATACATACATTTTTAATAAAAAATTCAAAAATCTCTAATATGTATCTCACTTTTTATGAATAATAATCCTCAATTAAATAATAAGTGCGTGTACTCATTGCTAACGTCCAAATGCTAATATTTACACACGTCACAGGGTGTTTCATAACACACTTATTTTACATGGATATTAATTCTCGATGATTGACATTATTATTTGACACTTTACCATTCTCTGCCATTCTTGTTTTGTTTCGTTGTTTTTGTTTTGGCGCGATTTTTCTTGTATGCAAAAAATATGCCGCATGTGTCGCCATATTGTTGTGCCGGTGTTGCTTAAATTGGTAAATTACGAAGAGACCGACAGTCGCTATATAGCAAGGGTAGAGAACAGTAACTAAAATAAAATAAATAGAATATAATTCTATTAAAAATTAAAAAAATCATACTCTTGTGTTATATTGCAAGAGAATAAAGTATTTTTTAAATAAATTTGAATTTTTTTGCGCAATAGTACTATTTTTTGCAACATTGCGTGCAAAAGTAAGCACGCTTGTCAATTTGCTTGCAGCCGTCTGTGACTTGTCATTCATTTTGTTCTACTCTTTGTGTGTGCATCGGTTTGTTCGATCGGTGGCGTTCTTTATATTTGTCTGGTTGAATATAAAAAGGAAACGATAAAATAAAGGAATTTAGTGCATAAAAATTACAAAACTAAATTGTGCTGGCTTTTAAGCCTTTCTTTCAGTTCGAATTTTTGTTTTTGGGAAAGCAAGAAAGCTGGTATTTTCTTGCATCTTTTTCCCCTCGTTTGGCTGGTGCGTCTTAGCCAGTTAAGCATAGCTAACTATTTGTTGCAAAAGTAATAATAAAAAAAGGAAATCAAGTTAATAGACGTGAAAACAAAAGCATCTTGGTGGTCTATTGTGGATTTCTGGTGTGGTGGCAGCTGATAGCATCCACAATTGAAGCATCAACATGTCGAATATTGTACTGGATAAGGATACATTCTTGAGACGAATAAAGCGTCTCTATGATGAATGGAAGGTGAGTGCGGAAATAATTATTGTGAAATTAATTTATGATGGAAATTATTTAATTGTTTGTGTTATTGTTGTCCCTTCACATTTATGGGAACGATTCCCCAAAAAATATGATAGTGTTATTTGTTCGTTATAATTTTCTCGATTATCTGTTGTAGATGAGTACTCGCTAAAGAGTAACCAATGCTCACAAGGCTGTTGCTTTCATATTCGAGAATTCCGCCAATTAAATGATTGAAGAAAATTATATTCAAATAATATATAAATTACATTATTATTGTTGTTGTTATAGCAATCCTTATCTGGTTGCAGAATGATCCCTCCTTTGCCTAATAAAACACCGATATTTACCACCAATGTTAGACCAAACTTTCGAGGGATCGTCTATAAAATCGTAGTAGAATTTGCTGTAATGAACGTAATGTTGACTTTGTCTCAAATATTTGTATAGTCGCAATACATTTGTACAGTTTCATATTGAGTCACTTTTATATATAAGATTCGGCAGCATTTTGGGTCCAATGTAGATAAATGTTATTGCTACACTTTTAATTATGATCTCCATAAAAAAGAATTAAATGCTTCCTACAAAATATATAAATATAATATATTTCTCAGAACTGAGGTAATGGCACCAGTGAACCATTTTCTTTTCAAGTAGCCCAACTAATTTCATACCCCCACCACTGGGTAGGAGATTAATATTTTCATTCCGTTTGTAGCTGATCGAAATATTCATTTCCGACCCTATAAATAATATGTATTCAGTCTTGATAAGAGCAAATTTATAAGACATTCTAGAGAATACGTAGGTTGTTATTACGCTTATATCCGAAATTGTACATAGCGTTGTATTTTATCTGCAGTCATTTCATCTTCAATTTTATTACAATTATTTATATATATGTTTCTATTTTTACAGCAACCCACCATAACACACGATGATGCCCTTAAGAAGGTCGATTGTATTATGTCTGTAGTGGGTGTGGATGAAGACATTGTTTATTCCAAATCTACTGCATTGCAAACGTGGCTTTTGGGTTATGAATTAACCGATACTATTTCAATTTTTGCCGCCGATGGTGTATATTTTCTAACAAGTAAAAAGAAAATTGAATTCTTGAAACAAATTGAAAATTGCAAAGTTGATGGAGTACCGGAAATAAAACTCTTAGTTAGAGATAGGGTAAGTAACATAACCTATGATATATATCTGTAATGATTTCAAATACAAATTGTCATGGTTTTCTTTGCAGAATGATAAAGACAAAGCCAATTTTGAAAAACTCAAAGAGATCATTAAATCCTCGAAAGAGGGTAAGAAATTGGGTGTATTTATTAAAGATGGTTTTCCTGGGGAATTCTGTGAATCATGGAAGGCCACACTCAAATCAGCTGGTTTTGAAAATGTAGATATTAGTGGGGCCATAGCTTATATTATGTGTCCCAAAGATGAACCGGAAATTAATAATATACGTAAAGCTTCTTTGGTGTCAGTGGATCTGTTCAGTAAATATCTTAAAGATCAAATTATGGATATTATTGATTCGGATAAGGTATGTGGAAATATTTTTGTATTTCCAAAGCAAATTTAAAATTGTTTTTTTCGTATTTATATTTCAGAAAGTAAAACACTCCAAATTATCCGAAGGTGTTGAATCAGCACTGACCGATAAAAAATATGTTACCGGTGTCGACAGTTCATTGCTAGAAATGTGTTATCCACCCATTATTCAATCTGGTGGTCACTACAGTTTAAAATTCTCAGCATTGAGTGATAAAAATCATTTGCATTTTGGTTCAATTGTCTGTTCATTGGGAGCTCGTTATAAATCCTATTGTTCGAATATATCACGTACATTTTTGGTAAATCCAACAGATGAAATGCAAGAGAATTATAATTTCCTTGTTAATGTCCAAGAAGAGATACTCAAGCTATTGAAACCAGGAGCAAAACTCAATGAAATATACGACCATGTTTTGGAATATGTGAAAAAAGAAAAACCAAAACTATTAGATAATTTCACAAAAACTTTTGGTTTTGCAATGGGCATTGAATTTCGTGAAAACTCCATTATCATTGGTCCTAAATGCACGGCAGAAGTAAAAAAGAATATGGTATTTAATGTTAATGTGGGCATATCTGGCCTCACTAATCCCGATGCCCAGGAAAAAGAGGGCAAAACGTATGCACTGTTTATAGGCGACACAGTTTTGGTGGGCGATCAATCACCGGCCAGTATAATGACACCTTCAAAGAAAAAAATTAAAAACATTGGTATTTTCATCAAGGATGACAGTGAGGAAGAGGATGCCGATGAAAAGGAAGAAATAAAAGAAGACAAGAGCCAGGCCATGTTGGGTAGAAGTAAACGTAATACTGTGCTCGACTCAAAACTACGTACCGAAACCAATACGGAAGAGAAACGTAAACAACATCAAAAGGAATTGGCGCAAATACTCAACGAAAAAGCCAAGGAACGTTTGTCCAAGCAAAACGATTCCAAAGAGGTGGAAAAGGTACGTAAAAATACTGCCTCATATAAATCGATGAGTCAAATGCCACGTGAACCAGAGGTGCGGGAATTGAAACTCTATGTGGATAAGAAATATGAAACAGTTATCATGCCGGTCTTTGGTATACCCGTACCATTTCATATATCAACAATTAAAAATATTTCACAATCTGTTGAGGGCGAATACACATATTTACGTATTAACTTTTTCCATCCCGGTGCAACAATGGGTCGTAATGAAGGTGGACAATTTCCCAATCCAGAGGCCACCTTTGTCAAAGAACTGTAAGTAGAGACACATATATTTGAAATATATTTTGAAATAATTTTAATTTCACAATTTTCAGCACCTATCGAAGTACTAATATAAAGGAACATGGTGAAGTTGTGGCACCCTCATCCAATTTAAATAATGCCTTCCGTCTCATCAAGGAGGTACAAAAACGCTTCAAAACTCGCGAAGCCGAGGAACGTGAAAAGGAGGATCTTGTTAAACAGGATACCCTTATATTATCCCAAAATAAGGGTAATCCAAAACTAAAGGATTTGTACATACGTCCCAATATCGTGACCAAACGTATGACTGGCAGCTTGGAAGCTCATACAAATGGTTTTCGTTATATCTCTGTTAGAGGAGATAAAGTGGATATTCTTTACAACAATATCAAGAGCGCGTTCTTTCAACCATGTGATGGTGAAATGATTATATTGTTACATTTCCATCTCAAACATGCCATAATGTTTGGCAAAAAGAAACATGTTGATGTACAGTTCTATACCGAAGTTGGTGAAATCACAACGGATTTGGGTAAACATCAACACATGCATGATCGCGATGATTTGGCTGCTGAGCAGGCTGAACGTGAATTGAGACATAAATTGAAGACGGCATTTAAAAGTTTCTGCGAAAAAGTGGAATCAATGACCAAACATCAAGTGGAATTCGATACACCATTCCGTGAATTGGGTTTCCCTGGTTGTCCATATCGCAGTACTGTTACCCTACAACCCACCTCAGGCAGTTTGGTCAATTTAACAGAGTGGCCACCATTTGTTATTACCTTGGATGATGTTGAATGTGTACATTTTGAACGTGTACAATTTCATTTGAGGAATTTCGATATGGTTTTCATTTTTAAAGATTATCACAAGAAGGTGGCCATGGTTAATGCAGTGCCAATGAATCTATTGGACCATGTCAAGGAATGGTTAAAGTAAGTGGAATTATTTTGTTTGTTTTAACGTCAGTTTTAATGTAATTATGCTTTGTTTTAGCTCTTGTGATATCCGTTACACCGAGGGTATTCAATCTCTTAATTGGGCAAAGATTATGAAAACCATTACCGATGATCCAGATGGATTCTTTGAACAAGGTGGTTGGTCTTTCTTAGATCCCGAATCGGGTAGTGAAGATGAAAATGAGGAAGCCGAATCTGAGGAGGATGAGGCATATGAACCCACAGATTTAGAGTCTGATGCAGAATCCGAAGATGATTCGGAATACTCCGAAGCATCAGAAGATGACAGTGATGAGGATAGTGAAGGTAAATACACACTTTTAAAATTGTCTATAAAATTGTACACATTTTGTTTAAGAAAAATGTGTGTTAAAAATACTATGGTAATGTTGAATCCAAGAAATACTATGGTATTGTTGATTTAACCTAGATGTGCCGAGTATATGTTAAAAACGTTGTATTAATGATTGATAAATCAATAAATAACAGGTGACCTGGATATTTTGTCCTCGGCATATCTGGGTTAACTGTAGAAAATTTAACATCCACATTTTGTATCGAACTGAACTTCCATCAATTTTATTTATCTTCAAAATAATAATAATAAATCGATTTAAAAAATATGTATTTTCTACAGAACTTGGTTCGGATGAAGAATCTGGTAAAGATTGGTCCGATTTAGAACGTGAAGCTGCCGAGGAGGATCGTAATCGTGACTACGATGTCGATGTCGATAGAAAACAAAATGGCAAACATCATTCTAAACACTCGAAGAGTTCAAAACACAGGTAAGACAAGTTTACGTTTTATATATTATTCAGTTTCTTTTTTATTGTAATTGAGTAGGAAATAATTATAAAAAAATATTTTTCGTTTCGATATATTCATTTGTTTGATTTGATTGCAAATTTTTTACTGAGATATTTCTGCTTCGATATTTACATTAACTATTATTGACATTTTATAACAATTTGTTGTTTATTAACTTGATTATGAACAGTCGCCGAGATCGAGCTGTACAAGAGCAAAACCATAAAAAACATCGTAAATCTCATTCCTCAACTTCGGCGAATGCCACATCGAAATCTGCAAAACACACAAATAGGTTTGTGATTATTGTCTTAAACTCCAAACCCAAAATCCCTTTGCTCCATATAACTCTCCTACACATACTCAATTTGATTTAAGAACAAATAAAATGTTGTTATTGGTTTGAAAAATGTTAACAAAAGCGATATTACATATTTTTCTAAATTTCACACACATACACGTCGTCTTAGCTTTAAATATATTAGGAAAAAAGATTTGTTGAAATGCTAACAATATTTTTTGTTTTTTTTTTTTCATTCTTTCGTAACTAGCCCCGTGAAATCATCCCATAAGGATAAACATCACGATCGCAGTCGTGATAAACATCATTCCTCGTCCTCGTCGCACAAAGATAAAGATCGCGACAAGAATCGTCATCATCACAGCAGCAGTAGTAGTAGTCATAAACGTTCTCGAGATGATAGTCGAGACGGTGGCCACCATAAATCTAAGAAATCGCGTCATTAAATATCACATTGTCGTTCATATTTCTAATTTAATAGAACTCCCTTTAAGTTTTCTCTATTTTGTAAACCCCTATTTTCTACTTCCTATCCATTCTCGTCTATTCCGTCATGTTTTTTTCATCATAATTTTCAACCGTTAAATATACTGTTTCTATTATAAACTTTTTTAAGTTTGTCGTTTATTTTTTCAGTTGTTACTTTCCATTTAGAGTTCAAAACTAATTGAAATAAAAATTTTGTCTTGTTGCTAAAAAAAGTTTTACTTTAAAATATTATTTTTTCTCGTTATTATATTTGCACTTGTCCCGGGACAAATACAATTTTTTTTCCAAAGTTTAATACTTTTTTTATTATTATTCCATAAAAAATTCAAATTTTTTCTAAGCAAGATTTTAAGTTTTTTAAAAAAGTAATAGTAACAATAAAAACAAATGTTCAGAAAGACTTAATGCGTTTTGTCATTTATTTTAGGGGGAGTGAAATAAAATGTATTTTTTTTATTCATATTCTTCGCATGGAAGATTATTATTTAATTGATGTGATAGTTGTTCAACTTTTCACATGTGTCATCAACAACAGGACCCGGAGCCATAATCATGTAATGATTCACATTCCGCAGTCCATTTGGAAAACATTTGTAACGATATCTCGCATGACTGCTCCATATGTGAGTATTACCTCCACTATTTACCCACATGGTCTGAAGATTTATAAGGGCCTATAGGAAAACGTGGACATATATATTACATTTCCAACACCAACCATCCCAGGAGTAGTAGCAATGTATGTGCAAAATTTCAAAGTTCTATCTTTAATATTTCGATCTCTATGGTGATTTCGATAAACAGCAAGGTGAATAGGTAAAATCGACATGGAATTTTACTTCAATCAAGAAGATGTAAACAGTAAAGGATTACCGGCGACTGTTGTGTAACGGTATTTATGATTTTTAAATAAATACCGATTATTGAACTTAAGGATGTTCTCAATTTCTCAATTTTTTTTTATTGATTTAGAAAATTCTCCCACTATTCCATAAAACAATATACAACAACAACACTAAACAATAAACACCCAGTATTTTACTTTTTCTTAAATTTTGCACTAATACTACGATAATGGGTTGAAGTGTCATTATCACCACCCACCATGTTCTTTGTTAGTGTCGTTGTACCACTGACACTGGTGCATTTTCTCAAACCAAATGGACGTTTTACATCGAACATATTACGGGTCTTGTTGATGGGAAAACGCATTTTATTCTTTAGCCAGCTGGTAAATGCCCTTTCATTATCGTGCATTTTACGCATTTCTTCTTCGCTGGTCTTAAGCGTTTCTTGCAACAGCGAATGTTGTTTTCGGCGTAATTTTTGTTCACGCTCCAATAGCTGATCCCGCGACAAACCGTATTCAGATAAATATCCAGTGTATTTGGGTAATTTTTGTTGGGCATTTTTAAATTCACAACAGGTTTTATAGTGCAACTTTAGATCGGTTACCTCTGGTGGAGGTAGAAAACGCCGATTGTTGTTGTTGTTCCTATACGGTGATGTGGTGGAACCAACAACATTGGAATTTTTAGTTTTACGTTTAAACGAGAAACGTTTGTGAAAGGGAATGCGACGAGAACGGTGATTGCTGGATTTCATGTCGGAGCACGTTAAGGAGGCTTTGTCACAGTCGAATGTGTCATCAGGTAAGTACGATGCCACAATAATTGAAAGTTTATCATCATCCTCATCATCTTCTCCATTTTCATCATATTCATTTTGATCCGTGGGGTCTTCATTTTGTGGAGTATTTGAGGGATTTTCTACGGGATACTCTTCATGATCACTATCCTCCAACAATGATTCGTTACAATTAAAATCTACAGCGTCATCGAGATTGTCAAGGTTGAAATTATTATTTTCAATATATTCCTCGTCTTCGTTTTCGTTATCGGATATTAACAGGTTTGTTAGACTTTTATTATCCTGTTCGTCGTCTTCGCAATAATCAAATGTGATTTGTTTTAACATTTTACGTTGCACCGTGCCAGGACTCTCACAGCTAGTGGTTGTATTATTTTCCATATCCATAATGAGAATATCTTCACAAATTTCTTCTATAACTTCTTCAACATGTGGAGTGGCCATCACTTCTTCGTTTTGGTTGGTTTGAGGTTCCTCCATGGCATCATTGTTTTCTTCATTTTCAATTTCTTGTTGGGGACTTATTTCCTCTTCTGTTATAATTTCTAATTTTCGGGGACTAATATTTTCATTTGCGGTTGCATCTTCTGGTTCTTGATTTGTAGCTACTTGTTCTTCATCTTCTTTATTATCCTGGCCTTTGCCTAACTTATTTTCCAATTCTTGTAGACTAATACCGCTCAGCGGCTCATACACTTCCAAATTGGCTGCAAAACTAACTTTGCGACTGCCATTTAAGGCCATCAATTCCAAATTATTTTCACCATCACCTTCGTCGTTTTGTTGGGCAAACAGTTCCTTATTGGCTTCCTTTATTTTATCCACAATGTTGTATTCATTGACCGGTTTTAAAACTATAAAAAATAACATTTCAACTAATAATTTCATTTTTCAAGATAAAATACGATACTCACAATAGACCTCACAATCCTCATCTGATTCGGTTTCATGTTCATATATCTCTGTCATGTCTTTAGTTCCTGGACTATTTGTTCAAACTGCGTGTTCTATTCTTTGTTTTACAGATATTTTTGACATGAATATTGGAAAAGTAATAGTCGTATCCTACTCACCACCACCCACTTTATTAGTTTTTGGCGAATATTGGTTTCTCAATCAATTACAAGTCATGCAGCACTTAATATTTTCGTTATATATCTACGATTTTTATTACTTTTGCCATTTGTTCTTTTCTATTGTTTACATGAAATAATTTGGGTCATAAATTTATTTTCTTCTTGCCACAATTTCTTCAAGTTGAACTTCGCATAGGAAGAAGCTATCAAACAATTCGTAATTTAATTCCAACTTTGTTTTTCAGAATTTTTTTATTGTAGTTACAACTGTAGTTTGTGGTAATGAAATAAAGTTCTGACTGGGAATATTTTTGATGCATACCTGTACACCATCTAGCATACCATCATCGGCAATATTGTTTTACCAACAATTCCGTTCACCTGGGTAACCAAGGCGTAGTCAGTCAATAAATAAACAAATAAAACAAGCAATATTCCATAATGTTTGATCGATGTACTGCAAAATTTCTCATTAACCCTGTATTAACCTTAAAGGGGAGTGAATATTTTTGGAGAAATTTGACTGCTTGTGTTACAAAAAAAAATCTTTAGGTCTAACATATGTTTATTACATATTAAGGAAGTTATTTAGTTTTTGGATCATAAGTATATTTTCATTATACATAAAGGTTTTATATCGATATACATATAAGTGGGAGATTTAAAATATCAGTTAGTAATAAAATACCGTGTGATTGTTGTTATATTTTTGCTAATATTTAACTATTTACAAAGTACAGGGTATTATGTCTTTGTGCATATGTTTGTAACAGGCAAAAGGAAACGAGATAGACCCATAGTTCATTATATCCTACACAACTATGTTGTCAGGGTATTATAGCTTTGTGCAGCTGAGTCGATCTAGACATGTGTGTCCGTCCGTCCGTCTGTCCATTATAATTTGTAAACACGATACAAGCCACAGTTATGGACCAATCTTTGCATGTTTGATGGGTTCTGGTCAATAAAGACCCCTATTGTTTTTGGTAAAGATCGGTTAATATTTAGGGGATGAAATGAACCAAATACTAAATTTTTGTCGGTTTTTCTGGTCGCTTCAGAGACCGCAATTATGGCCCGAACATCGTAAAATTTTTCATGGAAAAGGGGATCGGGCCAAAAAATAATCATGCCTATTTTGATAAAGATCGTTCAACATTTAGCGGGTCAACTGGACCCTGACTTTTGTGTGAAAAATTACAAAATTTGAATTCTATGGCGTATATATTTGCTCCTAGTAGACATATACCCGAGAAGTTGATAGTATATCCAAGAGGAGTGTCTGACCTTTAAATTGATACCAATTATATGGATATATGTACTCTGATGTGGGAGTTATACGTAATTAGGTAAAGGTGACTATGTGCATAGTATTACTATTACTCCATTAGAGGACGGAAATGTACATGAAGTTCCGATTATGATCAAGGACGAAGCCTATATTTTTCGGTGAAATTGAGATTTCATACAGGGGGTGCAATGAACAGAAAACTTCAATTTTGTCAGATTTTCTAGTCGTTCTAGAGGCAATTATTATATGCAGAACATCACATATTTTACAAGGTGAAGAGGATCTGACCAACAACTTAGAGCGGCTGTTTAAATGATGATCGGTCAATATTCCAAGGGTCAAATCAACTAAAACCTAAAGTGACCAATTTTTTATTTTATGGCGTAAAAATTCACATCAAGAAAACAATTTTTGGAAAATATGCCAGGGTTAGAAAGTGGACTTGTTGATCTATAATTGGTAAATGGGTGAAAATATCACGAAATATTGCCCAGTCTCAGAATATAGAACCGCAGAAATTTTGCTTTTCGTGGTAGTTGTGTAGGGTATCATATGATCGACCCCGTCTGACAATACTGCTCCGCTCACTGGTTTTGAGAATATGCCTGTTGGTGTTAAATTGTAAACAAAGTACAGGTCGCATTTATAATCCGAATTGGATGAAATTTGCCACAGCTCATATATTTGGCCCAAGGACGAACCCTATTGAAATTGAGAAAAATCGGTTCAGATTTAGATATCGTTTTCATATATATTTTCGTCCGAATGGTGCACCAAAGTCCCTATATATCGTTCGTTTTGCACGAAATTTGGCATAACGTACTGAATTGAGCCTAGAATGATGTGTGCTAAGTTTCGTAAAAAATCGGTTCAGGTTTAGATGTAGCTCCTCCCATATATATTTTCGTCCGATTTAATGTAAATAATGCACCGATTAATTATGCGTCCGATTTAATGTAAATAATTTGGTATGACACACTGAATTGAGCCTATAGTGATGTCTGCCAAGTTTCGTGAAAATCCGTTCAGATTGAGATATCGCTCCCATATGTATTTTCGTCCGAATGGTGCACCAAAGTCCCTATATATCTTTCGTTTTGCACGAAATTTGGCATAACGTACTGAATTGAGCCTTAAATGATGTCTGCCAAGTTACGTGAAAATCGGTTCAGGTTTAGATATAGCTCCCATATATAGTTTCGTCCGATTTTATGTAAATGGTGCACCAAAGTCGCTATATATCTTTCGATTTGCACGAAACTTGGCATAACGTACTGAATTGAGCCTAGAATGATGTGTGCTAAGTTTCGTGAAAATCGGTTCATGTTTAGATATAGCTCCCATATATAGTTTCGTCCGATTTTATGTAAATGGTCTATATCTTTCGATTTGCACCAAACTTGACATAACGTACTGAATTGAGCCTAGATTAATGTCTGCCAAGTTTCGTGAAAATCGGTTCAGATTTAGGTATAGCTCCCATATGTATTTTCGTCCGATTTAATGTAAAAGGTGCACAAAGTCCCTATATATATTTCAATTTGGAATTTTGTCCCATTGTAACAAACGAATGACATGTTTATGGCTTGATCTAAGTCGATTCACATTTAAATAAATATCACATATTTTAGTTCATCCAATTTCATGTTAATAGTCCTGTTTAATATACCCATAGTGGTGAAGGGCGTCATATAGTCGGCGCCGTCCGACTTTACTACTTTCCTTACTGTTTTTTTATATGTTCAGGATCTTTAAATTTTGCTAAATATTAATATTAGGAGATCGACCATAACACATCGCATTTCAGATGTTTGATGGTTATCAAACTTCTTTGCATATAATGTTCAATACGTTTGGACATAGACTCTCGTCATTTTAAGATATGCTGTAGGTTATAGCCATATTTTTCAACATCTAGCTATGCCATGGTGTATTGATACCTAGAAAACAAAATACCAAACTGCAAGCATCATGGTAGGAAAATTGGGCTATCTTTTTATTTAAATATTTCAACAATATTTTTTTTTTTGCAAACAATAGAAATGTTTCCTTTTGAAATGATTCATGATTCTTTCCTCCTCATCTCATGTACTTACCCAATTCTTGGCAATTAAGGAAACCAAAAATAAAACTTTGACATGTCATTAATAGTTTTATGTTAATTGTATTTCCTTTATTCGTTTTTTTTTTGCATTATAATTAAACCTACTTAATGAATACGTGTGTATGCGTGTATGTTTGGGGGTTTATTGTTTGTTTGTTTGGATGTGTTAAGAAGAATTTATTGCACAGGTTATTTCTTTTTTTGTTTGTTTCTTATTTTTGTTATCCTTAAGCTCTAGAGAATAGGCAAAGGAAAGGAAGAAAACGAAAAAATGCAAATCATTTCCATTTCCTTGAAATGAAGCTCGTAAGTTTTGTTTAATGATTTTGTGTCAGTGATTAAGTAGTAATGACTTATTGTGTAAATATGTAATTTTTATTTTGTCATGTAATTATAATTTTAGTGTTGAACTTTAGCAGTTGTGTGTGTGTTCCTTAACAATTTAAGAAAAAGTCATTGTACAATAATATGTTTTGTGTTCAGAAAATATTTGCAGTTTTGTTACCATTGATTTTTAACATTATTTTTTTTTGCTTGGATTTTTTCCCTTTTTTGGCACATTTATTTTTTCTTGAATGAGCGTCCTGGTGTTGTTGTTTCTATTTTCTTTAAATAAATTAAATTTTATAAAATAAGTACCCAGAATTCCTTGCAGAATTGACGAAACCAAAGAATTTGTTTATAAATATTTCAGATTTACTTAAAATAAACAATTTTAATCATAAGAAAAGATTTTTCTTTTGTTAATTTCCTAATATTACTATGAAGTGCAAAATGTGTATTTTTATTTAATACTAATTTATTTTTCTGCATTTGTTTTTTATTTGCATGTATAGAATTTTCAAAATTGGTAATTAAAAATTATTAATAATGCATGTTTTTATGTGAAACTCTGTGGGAGATTTTACACCTACTTCAAAAATAATAAAAACTTAAAGTTAAGGGTATTATGTATTTGTAAAATTGTATGAGTTAATATGCCAATAAGCAAATCGTCACAGATTAAATTTAGAAAATATATTATTTTTGAAAATATTTAATATTTTAGGGGACGGTTAATTGATTGATATAATTTTTTAATGTGTCGGTAGGTAACAACATGTTTTTAGGTTTCTTCGAAACACTTGCTAAACGGAAATAATAACAAAAAATTACATAATATTAAGATTAGTAATTTAAATAATTAAAAAAAAAAAAATGTAAAAAAATATTTCTGTAATTTACTTACATACATCATAGAGCACTAGGCAAAATTTTTCTTTGGAAATCGTGGATTTGTAAATGAGTGAAAATCAATAAAAAAAATTGGAAATTTTATATTTTTTAACGATGTTCACATGGAAAAATATTCGTATAGTTGCCAGTACATTGAATATGGACTAAGAAGGTGGTAGTACAAGAAAATATTGAGTCTAGAAGTTACCTATGTCTATGGATAATATAAACGCCTACGTTCCCAAATTAGCACGGCATACTTCACAGCGGCTAGTGTGGAGTTAATCAAAGGAGTGAAATCCTTTATCTTACAACATGACATACATGATATATTAATGGCTGTTACACACTTTTGCACGACATGGGTGAGTTCATATCAAAAAATTATTGTTTAATGTTGGTATTAACCCAAATTTATATTTGCAGACTTCTGACAGATAACAAATCCATCTAATCCGGATACATGTGGGTACAGAGAAGAAAACAGCTGGCCAATTGAAAATCATGGCGTCCTCTTACACATTTTCAAATCCTTGATAATACGGAATAATCCGCCATCATACGGATTAAGCCTTAATCCGGGATAATACGGATTAAGGCTTAATCCGAGATAATCCGGATTAAGGCTTAATCCGGGATAATCCGGATTAATTCGGGATAATCTGGAGTAAGGCTTAATCCGGGATAATCCGAGATTAATCCGAGATAATCCAGATTAAGGCTTAATCCGGGATAATCCGGATTAATTCGGGATAATCGGGAGTAAGGCTTAATCCGGGATAATCCGGATTAAGGCATAATCCGAGATACTCCGGATTAAGGCTTAATCCGAGATAATCCGGATTAAGGCTTAATCCGGGAGTAAGGCTTAATCCGGATTAAGGCTTAATCCGGGATAAACCTGATTAAGGCTTAATCCGGAATATTTTTTCCAAGGACCATCCATACAAGGCGTGGATTTTTTAAAGGAATATTTTTCCAACGACCATCCATGCAAGGCGTGGATTTCGTAAAAGAATATTTTTTCCAACGACCATCCATGCAAGGCGTGGATTTCGTAAAAGAATATTTTTTCCAAGGACCATTCATACAAGGCGTGGATTTTTAAAGGACCATCCAGGCTTAATCCGGATTATCTCGGATTAAGCCTTAATCCGGATTATCCCGGATTAATCGTTAAGCCTTAATCCCGATTATCCGGATTAAGGTTTAATCCGGGATAATCCGGATTAAGGCTTAATCCGAGATAATCCGGATTAAGGCCTAATCCGGGATAATCCGGATTAAGGCTTAATCCGAGATAATCCGGATTAAGGCTTAATCCGGGATAATCCGAATTAAGGCTTAATTCGGGATGATCCGGATTAATTCGGGATAATCGGGAATAAGGCTTAATCCGGGATAATCCGGATTAAGGCTTAATCCGGGATAAACCTGATTAAGGCTTAATCCGGAATATTTTTTCTAAGCACCATCCATACAAAGCTTGGATTTTTTAAAGGAATATTTTTTCAAGGACCATCCATACAAGGCGTGGATTTCGTAAAAGAATATTTTTTCCAAGGACCATTCATACAAGGCGTGGATTTTTAAAGGACCATCCAGGCTTAATCCTGATTATCTCGGATTAAGCCTTAATCCGGATTACCTCGGATTAATCCTTAATCCGGATTATCCCGGATCAAACGTCAATCCGGATTAATCCAGATTAAGACGGATTATCCGGATTAAGGTTTAATCCGGGATAATCCGGATTAAGGCTTAATCCGGATTAAGGCTTAATCCGGGATCATCCTGATTAAGCCTTAATCCGGGATAATCCGGATTAAGGCCCAATCCGGGATAATCCGTATTAAGGCTATCCGGGATAATCCGGATTAATTCGGGATAATCGGGAGTTAGGCTTAATCCGGGATAATCCGGATTAAAGCCTAATCCGGGATAATATGGATTAAGGCTTAATCTGGGATAATCCGGATTAAGGCCTAATCCGGGATAATCCGGATTAGGGCTTAATCCGGGATAATCCCGGATTTTTATGCTCCACTGTGTGCATGAATTATACGATTTGTAGATGACTTTGAAATATTTTTCCGCCTGTCAGTTTGACTGATTTTATATAATTTTTGCACATCGCAATATTTTATCCAAATTAGATGATATTCTATTTGGTACTTCCAAAAAAAGAAACCGGTAAAGAATAGTAAAGTTCGGCCGGACCCAACTTGTTATACCCTTCACCTTGAGGTTGACATTATTAATACTTAATAGCGATCGTGATTTTTATATGGTAGCAATGCCATCTTGTATTGATACCAAGAAAATGAAATTCCAAACTACATACACTCTGGTAGGAAAATTGGTCTAGAACCGAGGCTTGCCTTGTGTATGGCGAAACATGGACTGTGAATATCATGGAGAATATACCTTTGAGTAGGTGCTATAGCCAAATATTGATGTATATTTATAATTTTTGAAACACACAAAATATGAAGACAATGAAACAAATATAAAAACTTAGAAATCATAACCAAAAAGAAATGTAATTGAAATAAAACAAAAGAAATTTTAAATTATAAAAATTATTATTTTTTTTTTCGATTTAATTTTTTTTTAAATATAAATTGGTGTTTTTTGTTGAAAATGTTTTTTTTTAATAAATCTTTTTTTTACAAAATTTTCGCAAATAATATTCTTCCGATTTGTTCATTATAAAAATATTTAATTTTATGTATTAATTACAAGCTACGTACATAATATGTATACATATTTTTAAAAATGAGCATCTAAATATAAAACATGATTTTTTTTTTGATTCTTAATTTGTAAAAATTTTTGTTATTCCTAAAATGAAAGAATAGATAATTTAAATAACGAATGTATGTATATGTGTAATTTAAAATGTGTATACAATTATTTATGATTTTGTTCATTAATATATAAATTAATATTTTGTTTGTCTATACAACCCATATATAATGCTTAAGATATTGTTATGAAAATAATTAAAAAAAAGAAGAAAATAGTAGAAGATAAAAAAGGAAATGTGGGGAAAATTGTGGTAAGGGTTGGTATGGAATTTGGTTGGATGTGTTAGGTTAGGTTTTTATAAAAATTGTTTTTCTACTACAGACAAAGAAGGACAATAGCATGATTTTAAACATTTCAAAACTGGAAATACCTTCCATTAATGGAGTTCACTAGAAATATACGTATTTATTACGCCACGAAGTATTTGCCAAATACCCATTAAATATATATATATATATATATATATATGTATATATATATGTATATATATATGTATATATATGTATACATATACATATATGTATATATTCTTGATCAGATTAAAATTCTATGCCCATCCGTATGTCTTTTTTGTGTTTTTTTACAAAATATATATTTTTATGAGATAGTGTCTATTATTTTTTAATTTCAATTTTATATTATGTCTTTGTGTAGATTTTGGCCTTTGTTTTCTGTAATTTCCTTGAGAAAATTGCCCCTGTTCTATATGAAAATTAATCTCAAACAAATTTCAAATTCTTATCATTTTGTTCGTTTTTTTAACTTCCATGATGCATCACAGGTTGTATAAGCTTTGGAATAGATGATCCCAGTTTTTCTGTAATTACCCTAATCTTATACATATCCAACCAAATGGACTAGGAAACTTTTAAAAACATTTTTGGTTAAAAAAAATTATGAGAATGATGTATAATGAATGGGAGTGTGTGTGTAGAGGACATACATATTTATTGATAGGTTAAGGAAATATAGCCAGATGGTATTTTTTAAATTTTGAAGAAAATTTACATTTCAAAAGAAACAAAATTATTTCGCATTAAAAAACCTTTATGTTTTATTCGTATTTTTATCTCTCTTTTTTATTGTAAGCAGTGTTTTTTTTATACTTAATTCAATAAGATATAGTAATAATAATAATTATATAAGTTTGTTTAGATTTCTTCATTTTTTATATTTTAATTTAGTTTTTAAACTATGTCTTAGAGTAATTAAAAATATATAGTCTTTCGTATTCAAAATCTTAAATTATAAAATGATTAAAAAACAAGAGTATAAAACATTTTACAAATTATTTGATTTTTTTTTTGATATACACATTTCGACACAATAAGTTAAGGAAGGTGTAACTAGGATCATTGGCATGCTTATAGATTCTATAATGATCCCACAGCGTAAGGTGCCACACCATAATTTGGTTAACTTTGATTTTCACGATGAAAACCCGCCCCCAATGATTGGAGTTCATTATTTTGTGTGGAAACCTCAAAAAAAAGATTGAAACATTTAAACAATTTTCATTTTGTTTTCGTTTTCAACATGCCTTGCACTGTTTATTTTTCGTTTTTTTTTCTCTTTTTTTGTATTTAAATAAGGTGGGTATACTTAAAAAAACGTTTGATGAAAAACACAAAAAACGAACTTTCTATTAACCCCCCGACTACTGTCTCTTTGTTGCTTACCAAAAAAAACAAATTTATAAAATAAAATAATACATTACAATATTCTAAATACCCACCATTGGACAAAAAATTCGTTACTTCGTTTCACTCCCTCCCTCTCGTTTTTTGTTTTCTCTAAGAACTAAGTTTTTTTTTTATAATTGTACAAAGTAATGTAAAAAAATGGTAGAGATTTCTTGCATGTGTTGGTGTGTGGGCGTGTGTGTGGTTTGTTTTCTAATTTGTTTCCGTTTCATTTGAAAACTGTTTTTATGTAAACAATGGCAAATGATAGAAATCAAACCCTCGATAACCCTTTGCCGCCAGCCATATATAGACCACATGATAGGCACCGGGTATAAAACATATTAGACCCGCCACAAAGAATACAACACCCTGTGATGTATTCGCTGGATCGGCCACGGCAAATGTGCCCATCACAAAAAGTCCAGTGCCAACAATGAGTAGGGTAACAGCGGCCAAGACAGTGCGCCAATTTTCTCGTACCTTTGGATGCCGCCAACAATATGTGCTAACTTCGTCTGTGGAGATGTTGCCATATTCTTGTATTAGGGAATCACTGTCACGTGATGTGGTATCTTCGGTATATTTGTTGTAGCCCCTGAAAGGAAACAATACAATAAATAAAAAAAATGAGTAAATTGGAAAACATAAAAAAAACATCAACATTATTATAAAGTGTGAAAAAGTTATAAAGATCGGCCGGGAGGAATTTTTTATATACTCCACTATAGGCATACTGACAGTTATTTGAAATTGAATGATTTTGAGAAGTGTTGGTAAACGACCGCGATCTTAATAAAGAGTACATTACAAATAAATGGACCCTCCACCTGGCACCAGAAATACTAAATTTAAACAACTTTAAAAATACCGAAAATCGGGGGTATATAGGGACCTATACCTAAAAAGTGTACGGATGTTGATCATAATAAATATATTGACGATGTTTCACAGAATTACAAACTAAAATATCAATTAATTTAATTGAAAAGATGTCCAAAATCCCAAATATATCAGAAATTCGGGGATACCATTATATGGGAGCAATACTGAAATGTGAACCGAATTTGATCTGTCTGCAGATAAAAGACAACTGTATTCAACATTCCCTATCTCAATTCTATGGGAGCAATACTGAAATGTGAACCGAATTTCATGTGCCTGCAGATAAAAGACAACTGTATTCAACATTCGCTATCTCAATTCCATTCCGGAAGGTAGCAGACGAAGGAGTTTATACGCTATGGGGTCGGAAATGATTATATCGATGAGGTACACCATTTAATGGTAAAGGGTATAAAAATCGATGTTTAAAACTCTGTTAGTAATTGAAAAATGTTATCTGAAAGTCCATGGTTATAATTCGGTTGGTCCTTAAAACAATTTTATACTCTACACAACTATGTTGTCAGGGTATTATAGCTTTGTGCAGCTCCAAGAGTTTGTAACGCCGCGAAATATTGATGCTAGACCCACCTTTAAGTATACCGATCATCATATCTCGACTAGCTGAGTCGATCTAGACATGTGTTCGTCCGTCCGTCTGTCCATTATAATTTGTAAACACGATACAGGCCACAGTTATGAACCAATCTTCACCAAATTTTGCATGGAGGATAGGTTCGGCCCAATGAAGACCCCTATTGTTGGTAAAGATCAGTTAATATTTAAGGGATGAAATAGACCAAATACTTAATTTTTGTCGGTTTTTCTGGTCGCTCCAGAGACCGCAATTATCGCCTGAACTTCACGAATTTTTACATGGAGAAGGGGCATGCCCGTTTTGATAAAGATCGGTCAGTATTTAGCGGGTCAAATGAACCCTGATTTTTGTGTGAAAAATGACAAAATTTGTATCCTATAGCGTATATGTTTACTCCTGAAGGGCGTAGACCCGATAGGTTGGTGGTATATCCAAGAGGAATGATTGACCTTCAAATTGTCGTATGTACTCGGATGTGGAAGTTACATTTAAATATTGACAGGGGCTTACGTATTCATTTTTGGGTTACTACATTACCACACTGGAAGGCGGAAATGTAGCGCTTGTCGCTTTAAAAATTTCCCAGAGGTTGCAGTTATGGTCAAGGACAACGCCTATAATTTGGGATGAAGTGGACCGAAAACATATTTTTTTTCGAGTCGATTTATAGGCCACATGCCGAACATCACAACACAACCCAAGGTAAAGGTAATCTGGATAAGTAATTAGCAGGGCTGTGTAAGGAAGAGCTGCAGTGTAAGGAAGAGCTGCTGTTTACCTCTAATCGGTCAAAAGAGTGCAAATATCACGAAATATTGTCCAGGTTCGAAATAAACATCCACAGAAAGATGGAGTTCCGTGGTAGTTGTGTAGGGTATCACACAATTGGCCCCGTCCGACTATACTGCTCCGCTAACTGGTTAAAAATACCCTATTGGCCATTAAAAAACCTCTTTGAATATTAAGAGACCTAAAAAAGTATGTTTTTATTTAAAGATTTTTTAATCCTCTCTTATAGGATTAAATGAAAATCCCTTGGGGTCCCCCACCCATTCTCGGTTTCAAAAAGTTTAATTTTGTATTTTGATTTAATTCGAACCTACACTAATTCAAGAATGTCCCTATAAATTTTCAAGTCAAAATCTCAACAATTTTTGGAGATATAGCCGATTTATTGCATTAGCATCAAGTGACAGCAAGAGGACTTTTAAAACTTTAAACGCGTTTTTCTCCCAACATCGTTTTTGCGAATGGCGGGCACGATAACTCAAAAATTAATAACCCATTTGAGCCAGACATGTACTCTTTCTAACACCGAGGATACCCGCCATCAAAAATAAGGACATTTCTTTGATCACAAAAAACAAAAACAATTTTTTTTGTAAATTATTTTCCCTTAATCAATACTCTTTACAAGGTCTATAGGTCATTTATGAAATATTTTGAAAAATCCATATTTAAAAGAAATCGTTTCTAGGTCAGATTCTCGAACAAATAATTTGTAAAAACACACACATATCACCTTGTTGACACTTGAAAAATTGTGTTGTTTTATTCATTTCCAGACCAATTAAATTAAAGTAATTTTGGATTATTTAAAAAAAATGTGAACTTTTTGGCTCTTCTGACGAGTTTTAATAATAAACTTTTCTTTAGATAAATTTGTAGGGTGTAGGTTTCCTTGTTGGTCTTTTGGGTTATTAACACCAACAATTGAAAGTAAATGAATTTAAAGAACTATTCAAATATGATTTACTTTTCACTGCAGTATCTGAAGGCAGGCATACACATCCACACAATCGCTCTGTGTAAACAAACCAGGCAAAAGTGCATTGCAGACATCGCTACACTACAAACAAATACACCACTTATTCAAGGTTGTTACTAAAAATATAAATCTTTTTTTCTCTCCCTCTATGTGCTGTAATTTTAATTAATTTAGAAAACGTTGTGTCTGTCTGCTGTGTAAGTCATTAAGACGTTTTTATTTTTATATAAAATACAAATAAAAATGACGGCAAATGAAACTAATAATGTAAACGGCAAGGCAATACAGCACAAATTGCAACAGTAGTCTGTCTATTCGTGCATTATTTAAATAAAACGCATTTTTGTTTGTTTGTTTATAAATTCAATAAATTCCATTGTAACTAATATAGGCATACGGCGCATTCAAGACATACACACACACAGGCACATACTAGTCAATTTCATGTTTTGTTTTTATCGAATTTGTATTCGGTAATCGTAGCTATCGAATATAGTAAATGCATTAATGATCGGACATTTGTCTATCTTCTTCAATGCATATCAATTGCGAGAATAAATATTTATATTCATATGTTTGACAATATCAGACAATATCCATAAAATGTATTGTAAGTCGCCTAATTTTGTCGTTATAAACGTGGTGCAAATGGGGGACTTGTAGGACCTATACATTATTTCTCCAACGATTTTTAATGATGGTCCTTAACATAAACGCCTGCAGCTATTTAGGTCTTAAAAAATATGCTTTAAAAATCAACACCTATTTTTCTGCTGCCCTTAAAAGAAATATTTTGTTAAATTCTTGCATATACTTCTTTTGGTCCGACCACAAAAGAAAACATTTTTTAATGCTTTTTTCTGCTGAAACTACAAAAACTAATCGTAAAAAAACCCACGCTTATAGACCTACGTTGGCCCTTAAAAATATTATTTAAAAAAATACGCGGTCATAGCTCTGTTAGTCTTTGAACGATATTCTCTAAAAATCTACTCTTATAGAGCTCTTGTGGCCTTTTATAAATATTGTTTAAAAAATCAAGCTTATGAAATAGATTGTTTAAAATCCTCGCACGTAGTAAGGGTTGTCCTTGAAAAATATTATTATAGAGCCCACAATACTATGGAGGGTATATTAATTTTGTGATTCCGTTTATAACTCATCCAAATATTCATTTCCCACCCTATAAATTATATATATCCTTGATCAGGGCAAAATTCTAAGACGATCTTGCAATGTCCGTCCGTCCTTCTGTTGTAATCACACTATCTTCTGAAGGAATTGAGATATGGTGCTGACATTTTGTAGCTCCAGGCAGGTCAAGTTCGAAGATGGGCTTTATCGGTCCACGTTTAGGCATAGCTCCCACATAAAGGTACCCTCTAATTTTCAGTACTTTGAGGGTTTTGAGTGTATTTTTCTACGAATTCGCTGAAATTTGGTACTGGTACATTGGATTTTTATTGGTTACCAAATTTCTCCATCAAAAATTTTAATATAGATCCGCTTTTTCTGGTAGCCCCCATATAACGGTACCCTCTAATTTTCAGTATTTTGGAGGGTTTTGAGCTCGTTTTTCAACCGAATTGGCTGTAATTTGGTATTTTGAGTTCTTAATAGGTACCAAATCTTTCCACAAAAAATTATTACTATAGGTTAATTTTTGCGGATAGCCCCAATATAAGGGTACCCCCAATTTTCGGTATTTCAAATTCGTTTTTCAACCGAATTCCCTGCTATTTGGTATTTTGTAGTCGTATATGAAAACAAATCTCCCTACCAAAAATTATTAACATTCGCCTCCTTTTTGGAGTAGTCCCCATATTACCGGCTTTTTATATTCAAATTGTTATATGATTTGTTCCGCGTTTTGGATTTGGTTCTAAGACTCTGTTGCGGAGGTGAAAGTTTGGATGAAATCCAAATTTTCTGTAGCGGATTTGGTCCAAAGAAATATTGGGTCTAGAACCAATATTTCGATGAGGCTTATTTTCGCCGTATCACAGTGTATACACCCTCATTAGACATAAGGCTGAGGGTATTTGGTGTACATTATGGATTACATAATCGGTTTGTAGAAATGCAGGTATAGGTTCACTTTTTGGTATGTTCCTTATATTTTCATTTCAAGTACCTGTGGGTATATCTATGGTGGAAGGTATTCAAAAAAAAAAAAAAAAAACAATTAATCGGCTCAAGAACAATAAAGCAGCAGGAGTCGATGGGTTACCAGCCGAACTATTCAAAACTGGTGGCCAGATGCTGGTCAGGAGCATGCACCAGCTGATTAGTACAATTTGGCTAGAGGAATGCATGCCCAATGAATGGAACCTCAGCATTCTGTGTACCGTG